CGCAGCACGCTCGGTACAATGACACGCGTAGAGTCTAGCGGTCAACCCGTCCCATCCCCAACGACCAGGTATCATGTCCATCCCGGGATAGTCCCAGAGCCAGTCAGTCTGGACGTGTCGCTGGGCAGGTCAGCGGGTCAGGACGACAGTCCGGTCCGCTTTACTCCACGGTCAGAGCCGCAGCGGGGCTAGCGGGTCCGTCCGCCCTGCCATACGTTTGCCGGTACTCCGTTGTGGGAGTTGCAGGCTGGGAAGAGGCGGCGGCAGCGAGAGTCTAGCGAGGCTGCAGAAAGGCAGGCTACAATCGGAGGATTGGTGGTTGTTGGTTTGATAAAATACGTGTTACATACCAATGAAATCCTTCTCAGCTTGGATGAACTGCATATTAAGCTGTGTTTGGAGAGCGTTGGCTGCTGAGGCCGACGTCCACGGGTTATCTTAGCTCTGTTGCAGTAGCGCTGTGCATTTTGACGATAAAAGATAACTTTTGCGAATTTTATCATGGCCCAGTTACGACCTTTGTGCTATGACGAACTTGTTCTATTCCTGTAGAAATGAAGACTCTTAATTTTGTTCCTAACTTAGGATGTCAGCAGATTCCCCCTTTTCATAACGCATAGACAAAACCGAGACCTCTACAAATATAAACGATGCGACCTCCACGGACCTTGAGAAACATCAGAGTTCCTTTTCTAACATTACGACGTATCTGATAAAGGATAGGGCCAATGTGGGATTCTGGGAGAGGCCAGGAACCGGGCCCTCGCCAATGCGTGAATGACACCATTTTGCACGCCAACTGGATCAGCAGCTCCAAATCGGACGTGAGTCGACTGAGGTACTGTACCGAAGGCTTGCTTGACCGCCATTCTTGTGCCGACGCCGACGTCACGGTCCGCAGATCAGCCACCTTCTCCGTGAAGGTTCAACTGGCGCCGATCTGCTGAGATCTGCACAGATCTGGCGAGATCTGCATCTGCACAGATCTGTTGAGATCTGCACAGATCTGTTGAGATCTGCACAGATCTGCTGAGATCTGCACAGATCTGCTGAGCTGCTCCCGTCCCGGTCTCCGTCTGCGGCGCACTCCGGTACCGGACGCTGGACGTCATCACACCAACCACACCGGCATGCGACCCGGTCCGCAGCCTTACTTCCCCGACTTGGCAGGTTGGTGAGGTGCCGCCCGATCCGCAGCCTTACTTCCCCGACCTGGCAGGTTGGTGAGGTGCCGCCCGATCGGCAGCCTTACTTCCCCGACCTGGCAGGTTGGTGAGGTGCCGCCCGATCGGCAGCCTTACTTCCCCGACTTGGCAGGTTGGTGAGGTGCCGCCCGATCGGCAGCCTTACCTTCCCCGACCTGGCAGGTGGTGAGGTGCCGCCCGATCGGCAGCCTTACTTCCCCGACCTGGCAGGTTGGTGAGGTGCCGCCCGATCGGCAGCCTTACTTCCCCGACTTGGCAGGTTGGTGAGGTGCCGCCCGATCCGCAGCCTTACTTCCCCGACCTGGCAGGTTGGTGAGGTGCCGCCCGATCGGCAGCCTTACTTCCCCGACCTGGCAGGTTGGTGAGGTGCCGCCCGATCGGCAGCCTTACTTCCCCGACCTGGCAGGTTGGTGAGGTGCCGCCCGATCGGCAGCCTTACTTCCCCGACCTGGCAGGTTGGTGAGGTGCCGCCCGATCGGCAGCCTTACTTCCCCGACCTGGCAGGTTGGTGAGGTGCCGTCTGGCAGGTTGGTGAGGTGCCGTCTGGCAGGTTGGTGAGGTGCCGTCTGGCAGGTTGGTGAGGTGCCGTCTGGCAGGTTGGTGAGGTGCCGTCTGGCAGACGGTCAGTGTGGAACCCGCAGACTCCAAGGTCTTTATATCACAACCGCTAACGTGCGGTCAGGTCAGAGGTTGCCGCCGGCCTTCCACCCGCGGCTAGATGTTTATGAAATTCTGCTTACAAACAGTGGTATATGAATCAGTCAGGTCAGTGTGCCTGCTGGGAGAGTCCATCTGGGTTATGGTTTATGTTTCCGGATCTTTCTGAATCAGCTGTCTGAGCAGGGATGTATTTGCCAAATGAGCTGGAGTGTCTTACAGTGACAACTGACTCAACCTGCCCCAAATTACGTCAGCAAACTGGGTCTCCCTGGATTTGGCTCACTTACTTTTCCGAGCTGGGGGCTAAAGCCCAAATAGAGAGGAGAGGGCTGAAGCCCCTTCCCCCAACAGCATGACAAGCTTGACCTCTATGTCTGAGTCATCTGCCCGTATGTCAGAACCCCTTCCTCTATCTCAGCTGTGTGAGCTAGCGACCTCGGATGTCCGAATCGGTGCGCCTGCATATCAGAAATTGTCCCTCCAGCTCAGCTGTATGCATACCAAGAGCCAGCATGGCCGAGTCTGCTGACCGGGTACGCCGACCGCTGTCCGCTGTTTTCATGCCGGGAGTTTGTGCGACAGAGCTCGCCCTCCGGCCAGGGCGATCTGAGTCGGGGTCCGGACCGGACCCGAGCCGCGCCCTCCGGCCGGGGCGGTCTGAGTCGGGGTCCGGACCTGACCCGACCCGGGCCCTCCGGCCGAGGGTGGTCTGAGTCGGGGTCCGGACCCGACCCGCGCCCTCCGGCCGGGGGCGGTCTGAGTCGGGGTCCGGACCTGACTCGACCCGCGCCCTCCGGCCGGGGGCGGGCCGCGGTCGGGACAGAGACGGATGGAGAACAGCGCTGCGCCCGGCGCTGGCCGCGGGAGCCGTCCGTGACAAACACACAGCCATCGGCCGGATGGCGGCACAAAGGCGCTGTAATGCAGACATAGGAACGTCGCCCCGTGATAAACTGGCGCGGCGTGAAGGCGCCACCATGAAAAACGGCCAGCATGCGCAATGACTACGGCCTCAGATTAATAAAGAGGCGCGTGACACTGGACAGGGTAGATACGGTGCAATAAAATCGAGGTTGCATCGTTTCCGGGGATAAAATAACGCGGCGAGGATAGGTCGGAAGGAAACGGAGGAGGAGGCGGGCGCAGAAAAATAAAGTAAGAGGGTGACAGAGAGACACTTGACAGTTATCTGTGTTCGGGAGGCGAGGGAATGCTTGCACGGCTTCACGGAGGCACCTCGTAACAAGGACCCTCCTGGCACCTTCGTAATTTGTAAGCGCGCATTCGAATTCAGGTGATGGTGCCGTCAATACGTTATAACGTAGGCAGACCTTCATGATTTTGAGGAGCAGAAAGTCTGCTTCGTCTGACTTAAAAGGTGATCGGCTCCATGACCTACGCCCACGGCTCACGTCAACAGTCCATGTTCAGGTGCTGCATTCTTGTTAACGAGGCAGCTGCTGCATGCATGCTGTCATCACACGGTGACTTATGTATTACAATGAGCGCTGGGTCCGCCTGTGCGCTGCACGTGCCTCCATGCACAACGGCTGGTTTATTGTCGGACGGAGCAGGTGAAGACTCTCGGCCATCGCCGTCTTCGCGGTACCAGCCTCCGCAACAGATGAGCCTCGTCTAACCTTGTCCTCCGTCAGATGGACGGTGGCGGACGCGACCCGGCTCGGCCCGGCTTGGCCCGGCCCGGCTCGGCCCGGCTCGGCCCGGCTCGGCCCAGCCCGGCCTGACCCGGCTCGGCCCGGCCCGGCCCGGCCCGGCCCGGCCCGGCCCGGCCCGGCCCGGCTCGGCCGGGCCTGGCCCGACCCGGCTCGGCCCGACCCGGCTCGGCCCGGCCCGGCCCGGCCCGGTTCGGCCCGCTCGGCCCAGCTCGGCCCGGCCGGCCAGACCCGGCTCGGCCCGGCCCGGCTCGGCTCGGCTCGGCTCGGCTCGGCTCGGCTCGGCTCGGCTCGGCTCGGCTCGGCTCGGCTCGGCTCGGCTCGGCTCGGCTCGGCTCGGCTCGGCTCGGCTCGGCTCGGCTCGGCTCGGCTCGGCTCGGCTCGGCTCGGCTCGGCTCGGCTCGGCTCGGCTCGGCTCGGCTCGGCTCGGCTCGGCTCGGCTCGGCCCGGCCCGGCGGGTCCGGCGGGTCGGAGCTCAGGGCCGGGAGAGCCGCGGCGCCGCCCGGACAGGCGTGGGCGGCCGTGCGCGAGCGTCGCCCGGGCCGCCTCCCGTGTGTAAGCTCGCGCGCCGGCGTCGGACAATGGCAGGGCGCGCCGCCCGGCCCGGACCGGAGACATGTGGGGCAGGTCAGGCGCCCGGCTCGCCGGCCGGAGCAGACCCTGCGCCGACGCGGCGCGCGGCGATCGCGTCGTAAACGCTGATTTGTGAACGAGATACCTTTGACTGGGATCGAGAACGTCACAAAAACCGTTCAGTGTGCTCCGGCTGGGCGCGCAACGAAAGCCCGGCGCTCTAGTTATGAAACTTCAGTCGGTAAACACGGCAGCAGGATCGCTCAGCTACGCAGCTGCTGCAGAGCAGCCCGGGCCCAATTCTGACCAACTGGCCCGACAAACAGTTCACTCTTCTTCTTTCCTTCTCCCCCCACAGCCGCGTAGCGCAGCTGTCTGGGCACGTCACCGCCGGCGGACCACAGATCGGACCTCCAGACGTCGGACCGCCGCCGCCAGGGTCGGACCACAGATCGGACCTCCAGACGTCGGACCGCCGCCGCCAGGGTCGGACCACAGGTCGGACCTCCAGACGTCGGACCGCCGCCGCCAGGGTCGGACCACAGGTCGGACCTCCAGACGTCGGACCGCCGCCGCCAGGGTCGGACCACAGGTCGGCGGAAGCCGGTCAAGCGGCTGATCCTGGTTCAGCCGCGCCTTGCTTGCTTGCTTATGTCCCCACATAAAGAGACAATGTTTCAGCTTGCCGATGGGCATCGCAGCTACCGCGTCAGGACCGCACCACGCTGCAGTTGCGTGCACTGCCGCGCCACGACCGGTGAAGTACGGATGGTGCCGAGTTCGCTTCCGGACGCCGCAGTCCCAGGCGTGGGTGTTTCCGGCTACGTCGCACACTCGGCCGGACAGCGGCGTTCCGGACGGAGCGTAAACTCCCGAGATCGGTACTCACCGGGGGCGCCTCCTCGCGACGCCAGCTGACCTCGGGCGCCGGGTCACCGATGACGTCACAGGTGATCGTCAGTGAGTCACCCTCCAGCACGTGTGATGAGGCCGGGTCGCGCAGGAAGCAGGGTGCCTCCACCGGCCTGCCGCACGGTGCAGGCGGAGGTCAGCAGCGGGGCCGCGGCGGAGGGAGGCGGAGGGGGGGGGGGGGGGACGCCGGTACAGACTTGGACGGCGGTAGACCTTTTCTTGCATATCTGACATAATTTGCAATTCTGACACAGTTGAAAATAAGTTGGACTGTGGGTGTGACACCTTTCAGGAGTGAAAACAAAACTTACTTAAGAGGCACGATATATCCTCCGTTTGCCATATTATAACCACCCTGTTTCAGGTCCTCATTGCACCTGCGGTCACAATTGGCTGATGATGACAGGGCAGCGTGGGTGGTGCGTTCAGGCACAAATTGCTCAAGGTCATGACCTTGCTTAATTTTTGGAAGATCCGTGAGGTTTACTTGTCCGTACGCATGAGTAAAGCTAGTTGAAAGATAAATAAAGGCAAATAGACCACCTCTGTACAAACCACGGTGCAAACAATACCTAGCAGTATCTACCTGCTCTACATTTGTCTGATCCGGTGCGGCCTTGACCCTAGAAATTCACTACGATTGGTCGCATGATGGTCGTCAAAATTCACTGCGATTGGTCACATGATGTTCGTCAAAATGATGTCCACGATCGATGTAGTGGATCGAAACAAGACATTCTTGCAAGTGCAAGTGCCAAACATTCCTTATAAGAGCCAGTGGGTATGCTTGGCCTATGATAGTTTGACCTCTCACCACCAGACATGCGGCCTGATATCACTGACGTCAGGTCAGAAGTGTCTATAAAATAAGCAATAAGTGTATCCCAAGTGCCTATCAGTAAGCTGCATCGTCGATTTGGCGAGAAATCTGGCTTGCAAGATCTTTACAAATGGGTAATGGCTCACGACCAATTGAGACAGCAGTGCAAAAAACAGGCATGAGTGCGACAAGTAGCTTGAGGTCAGCTGCAGAAAGATCGGCTTCATAGCATTAATAGCAGCCATGGCACCAAAAACAAACTTCAGAGAGCTCTCAAAACCTCAGCCCCCTCTCCCCTCCCCCCCTCCCCCTCCCCCTCCCCTCCCCCTCCCCCTCCCTCTCTCCCCTCCCCCTCTCCCCGTTCCACCTTTTTCTCTCCTTGGGAGACGGTTAGTATCCGCTTTTGCCAGTACAATAAAACTACGGAGCAGCAAAAGGTCATCACACGAAAGCCTCGCTGTTTTGGTAACTCATAGATAAATAGTGAGGTGCACGCCGTGTTGAATGGATAGCAGGTTATCAGGGTTGAATGAATGACATTTCTATCAGGACTCCATTCATTTTGTCATCGTTTCATTTAGTTGGGTGTCTGAAGTCTGTGAGGGAATATGTCACGGAGTTTATCGTGTCGTGTATGTCTTACGGTCTATGTCGGTGTAAGCTGCACTTACGGCAGGCATTTTGTTCCTAACTTGACATTCGGTGGGAACACAAACGGATAGGCATAACTGTAAACTCGACCGGAGCAGGTTAGAAACGCTGAAAGGCGACGTGCTGCGTCCCTTGTCCCATCTTTATTCACGGCGGGATTCATTACCACCTGCCCAAATCACAAGTGATACGATCGCTTGACAGAATTACCGATCCATCGTATGCCGACAAATTAGCATGTTTGCCGCTCACAAATCGATAGCATCGTGGCGCTGATAATCCTCGCCCTGATATCGTGGCGCTGATAATCCTCGTCCTGATATCGTGGCGCTGATAATCCTCGTCAATTAATAGTGCCGTCATCTTCTCAAATGGAATGGAAAAAGTGGGCAGCAAACACGTTTTACCACCAAGAATGCTTGGTCGTGGTCTCTCGTCTTTTCCTGAAATACTTGTGGGCAATGCCTGCCAGCAGGACTTCGCGAAAAATTATGATACGTCACAGACATCCAAAGCCAAGCCGCCTGCTCATTCCTTCTATGTGGGTACGCCTCAGAACGCAGGGGGACTTCGCTGCGCGTGAACGTGAGCAATAAGCCTGAACAGCCAGAGTCGTGAGCATGTGTAATGGTGCACGCAGAGCAGTCGCAACCGCTCCAGCAGCATAACTGCCAAGGCCGCGGCAGTAGAGCAGCAGTTACCGAGTCCCAACAGCTGCGAGCGAAGCGTGCGCGAGGTTTGGAGGGTCGCACAACCTCCTGACTCCGCGGCGCCTGCTCCGTCGGCCCGCCGGCCGCGCTGGCGTGCCGCGATCAGCCAAACGGCGCGCCGTAATTGCATAACGAGATCAGGCCATAGGCCGCGCCGCATAACGAGCTCTCGGGGCGCGCGGGGTAGGCGCGTGCAGACCGCATCACGGTCGCACTGTTGCGCAACGGAGCCGAGCCAACAGGACTCTCATGCGTTGAGCGGGCGCGGAAGCGGCCTAGTCCGCTGCAGCGAACGTGGGTTGGACTGGACCGGAGGTTGGATTGGGGAGGGGGAGGGGAAGGGAGCTCACCCGTCAGGCGAGTCCTGCACCACCACCCGGGTGGAGGTGGCCACGCTGCCCATCTCGTTGCTCATGGTGCAGGAGAAGTTGCCGGCGTCGCTGTGCGTGACGCGGCTCAAGCGTAGCGTGGCCAGGCCGTCGCCGTCCAGCAGCAGAGCCTGACGCCGTGCCATGCGCACCCGCTTCCCCTCGCGGTGCCTGCCGGTCAAGGGCGGGTCAAGGTCACCAGAGCGCCGCGCTCACGCGGGCTCTGGGGCGGGCACGCGCCTGGGTCGAGACGGCAGTGTTAACGGTGGGGGATACTCAGGGGAAGCAGATGCTTTCGGATGCCAACTGGGTTGCAAACCACCGTGGAGCAGCTTTCCTTCCAGGCACAGAGATCCGAATGCACAGCTGGGTGGGAACAGTCCTGATAAGCTCTCTCCCATATATCGTAGGCACCAGCATGCGCTTTATGACACTCATCATAGCCTCATTGTTACTGGGAAGATCTCCCACGGCCCGCTCGGCCGCGGCCGGGGGTCGGGCGGAGGTCGCTGAACGTTTATCACCGCGCTAAACATTCACAGCGTATGTCAAGCGACGACCGCCCAGTGCTCGAGGCACGTCCGTCACCGCCTCTCATGCGGTGGCAGATGCCAGACGCTGGTGAACGGCTGATATGTGTGTACCCACCCACCAACATAAATTTCCGCCCAGTAAAATATCGCAGTCGGATATAACTCGTACAGAGTCGGGGCAATGAGCATGCACGAGCGCGCAGGGGCGGTGGTCTTCATGTTGATGCGTGTCAGGATTTGTGTGTGAGGAAATAGATCCAATGTATGCATGATGCAAATAAATTGTGGGGAAAGTAATCCGTATTTAAAGAAACAAAGAAACAAATGCTTAACGCATTAGTTGCATGGGGATCAGCAATCTCGGTAGACAATTCTTTGTGGCGCAAACGTGCACGAGGAGAAATATTTCTACATTGATATACCGTGAGTATTATGCCTGTGCCAACTCGGTTAGTGCCGTTCTCATCCTACCTAAGAGAACGGTTCTGACAAAACGCTCGATAATCGTGACGGCAGCCCTTACAGTGCCAGCACCAGCCGTCACACTAACAGCACCAGCCGTCACACTAACAGCATCAGCCGTCACACTGACAACACCAGCCGTCACAGTCACAGCGCCAGCCGTCACACTGATAGCACCAGCCGTCACACTAACAGCACTAGCCGTCACACTGACAGTACCAGCCGTCACACTAACAGCACCAGCCGTCACACTGACAACACCAGCCGTCACAGTCACAGCGCCAGCCGTCACACTGATGGCACCAGCCGTCACACTAACAGCACTAGCCGTCACACTGACAGTACCAGCCGTCACACTAACAGCACCAGTCGTCAGAGTGACAGCACCAGCCGTCACACTGACAGCACCAGCCGTCACACTGACAGCACCAGCCGTCACACTGACAGTACGAGCCGTCAGAGTGCCAGCACCAGCCGTCACACTGACAGTACGAGCCTTTAGAGTGACAGCACCAGCCGTCACACTGACAGCACCAGCCGTCACACTGACAGTACGAGCCGTCAGAGTGCCAGCACCAGCCGTCACACTGACAGTACGAGCCGTCAGAGCGCACCAGCCGTCACAGACAGTGACAGCGCCATTGGTGAGGAGATGGATGGTGAGGCGGAGCCGAGCTCAGCAGGCTGGGCGGAGCGGGATCCGCGCCGATAACACTCCCGTGATGAGACGGCCTTATCTGGCCATCAGCGGCGCCCTTTTTCTGCTCTTCGGGCGGCTGCGTAATTGGCAGCGGCGGCGGCGGCATGGGAATAGGTGAGCGCGTGCTTTGCGCATTTGTCCGAGGCGCGGGGCAGCACAGAAGAGCCGCTCTGGTAGCCTGAGGCGCCGTGAGTTATTTGCCATCTGACGCGTTTGGAATCTTCACACGGAGGGTCGTGGAACTGGGGCGTGACGGGTCAGCAATGAGCGGCAGCGGGCTACCGCGGTTACGCTGCGATGGATGGCTGAGTGGATCGGTGCAATTGTCTAGACGAACAGTGATTCCCAGAGCGTTTCTCAGTTCTTTACTCACGAAGTCCCACGAAGACCGACTTCACATTGGTCTCGTGTAAATCTGGCAGTTTGGATCATGGTTGGTCGTAAATCTGTATGCAGCTGCTCTGACTTTGCCAGTATCAGGCATGTATGCGTTCCGTTTAATGTCGGTGGAATAAGTGTTGGCTCTCATCTATATGCTGGAGGAAGCATGCTTGCACTTGATGCTGTGCTATACAGATACCAGAAATCTATATTAAAATCAGTTAGACTCTGACTTATTTCGCACTTTGTCTCTCGTTGTTAGCAGTAACGTCCAGGCATTGGAAGGACGGCGTCGACTGTGACCTTTCAGTGCTCAGGCCACAATAATGCTCCGCCGGTAACTGACAAGGTCAGCGCTATCGCAGCCACAAACATGCTGCGAATCATAGCCCAACAGCGTTCGCATGCCTCACTTGTACTGCAACGACCTTGAATCCGAAGGGCTATTTTCAGCCGTCGGTGGCAGATGCGTGTGTTCGTTGTTGAAAAATGCGGGTTTGCGTGGCCTTGTAGTCCGATTACCTCGTCTTACGCGTTATGTTTCGGAGTGAAACCAGCTAAGAATGAATTATAAATTAAATCGATCAGATCTTGTACAATTTCAAGACACTGCCAGTCTCATTTGCCGCTACAAATGATCGCTTGTTAAGACTTGAGAGGCAGCATTCGAAGTCAGAACTGCTCGAACTACCATAAATGAAATGGCAGCTTCAGGCTCTCAGGCGTACCATTTAAATGTTGGAAGAGGTTTCTCAGTCATAAAAGCAACACTCTATTTGATGACCCAACTCACGACTAGAACCGCAGTGGTCGCTAATCACGCATACACCTTGCCACTTACCCTTGCGACAGTGCCGCCACCTATGATGAGGCGGATTTCAGCGCTACCTACCACAGAACAGAGATGGCGGGGTAGGCGGTGCAGCGGGCCTGCAGCTCCAGCGTCGAGTTGGCTTCGACCTTGGTGACCTCCGGCAGGGGACGGACTAGCTCGGGAGCCACGTACATCAGCGGTCCGCAGTCAACCACCTTGAAACATAAGGAGACGAGAACTGCTTCACCATCTGCCAGGACACAGCACCGCACTCTCTGCACGCAGAGGCTGATGCTTTTAGACATGCGAAGATCCGAATGTTGCAGCAAATAAAACGAGGCATAATGAAGATAACGGATGACCGAAAAACTTTTTTTCAAACACAGTGCTCTCAACGAAAAATAGGGAAACATGTCAGCATCAACAGGACACAGTGGCATGCCATCTTACACGAGCAGGTGATGGAACCGTGCTTGTTGGCGCGTCAGCATCAACAGAAGGACGCAGCGACATACCAGCATACACGAGCAGGTGATGGAACCGTGTTTGTTGGCGCGTCAGCATCAACAGAAGGACGCAGCGACATACCAGCATACACGAGCAGGTGATGGAGCCGTGCTCGTTGGCGGCTGTCGCTGAGTATGACCCCACGTCAGCGAATTTGGCCGATGTGATCTCCAGAGTGTAGAAGTCATGTGCTTCTTGCCACATTGAGAGCCGGTCTGGAACGTGTCGTTACAAAACCAGAATGACGCAGAACATGGCCCAAACCATGCCATTCCAACGTAATGCACACAATGAATGCATTGTTCACGTACGCTTTATCAGTCCAGCGTAACCAATTAACTCCGTGAAGCAAAGGCATCTAACCCTGTATAAAGAGCCAATGTTTGCAAATAGCAAGGGCATGCCCTCCTGTTGCTGAAACGTTCCTCCGCCTGTCGCTCAGGTACCCTGAGGCCGAGGTAACCAGGGAACGGGCAGGTCCGACATACCCTGCTGTTGTAACGTCTCTCCGTCCTTGGCCCAGGTGACTTGAGGCCGGGGGTGACCTGTGACCTGGCAGGACAGTCTGACGGAGCTGCCTGCCTCCACGCGTCGCTCGCGCGGCCGCAACAGGAAGAACGGCGCCAGCGCGGCCGCCGACTCCTCGCTGCTGCTGGCGGACTCCAGGGCACTGTCGGCAGACCACAGGACACTGCCAGCGGACTCCATAGCACTGTCGGCAGACCACAGGGCCCGGCCGGCAGACCACAGGGCACTGTCGGCGGACTCCAGGGCACTGTCGGCGGACTCCAGGACACTGTCGGCAGACTATAGGCTCGTCAGAGCTGCTCAAAACTGTCGTCACCAACATCAGTTTTGTTTTTATGTTCTTCAGATGGGCAAGAGCGACGTCACTTACATGTTTCACCAAACTTTATGCGGGAAGGTTGCTGTATGTGGCTTGTTGTTCTTATTGAGGATTCATGATGCACTCAGCCCATGGGGCCAATGGCGTCGCCCGCCTCTCAACCCGGCTCGGGGCAACCACTGCGGGAAATCGAACCTCGCACCTTGGGTTTCTTAGGCGCGCAGCGTAGCCACTACACTACCGGAACACCCTGTACGTAATTTAAGCAAGCCGTAATTATTTAATTTCTCAGTTACAAATGGCAAGTGAGGGGCTTGAGTAGTTCGTGGCTTGTTACAGCAGTGCAACGGTGTCGGTTGCGATCGATAATCACAGCCCACACTCCGGACATCTTCATAAGCGGACGAGGCCCTTATGATATCAGCTCCAGCTCCTAGTGGCGCTGGCAACAGCGCATCTGACGTGTGGAAGCATTTTGCCTGCTGACTTGTCAGCGCTGCGTTCGCCCTGTCGGTGGCTCCATCAGCGCTTCTTACACCTTTTGACGGCTTCATCAGCTGGGCTTTTCGCCTTCCGAGCGGCGCATCTCACCTGCTGATGGCCCTGTCGGCGGTGAGCAGCAGCTCGCGCTCCACCACGGTCAGCCGTGTGAAGGTGCTGCCCTCGCCGGCCGGGTTGGCCGCGTGGCACGTGTAGGTGCCCTGGTCAGAGGGGCGCGGCCCGCTGATGGTCAGCTGGCAGCGGCCCTGGCGCTGGGACGCCTGTAGGCGCTGCAGACCGGCCGGCAGCGGGATCCCGTCCCGCAGCCAGACGGCCTCGGGCCGCGGCTCGCCCTCCAGCTGAGGACACAAGGCAGGGGTGCAGGGAGACGGCAGGGACAGAGACAGCCAGACAGCCTCGGGCCGCGGCTCGCCCTCCAGTTGAGGGCACAAGGCAGGTGTGCAGGGAGACGGCAGGGACAGGGACAGCCAGACGACCTCAGGCCGCGGCTCGCCCTCCAGCTGAGGGCACAAGGCAAGGGTGCAGGGAGACGGCAGGGACAGAGACAGCCAGAACGATACGACGGAAATAGGGATGAATGAACTGTTCAAGGGGAGGGGGGAGGGAGGGGTGGCAGATACACATTTATGGCGGTAGTATCGGAGAACAAATAAACAAGTCGCAAGGCTACATTTGGAGCTTTAACGATACTGATAGGACAATCTAACACGCAAATACGCGGTTCTCAGCGCTGCTATCATTTTCAGAACAGCACCCCCAAGAGCCCTCAGCTTTTTAAACTGTATCACATCATACTCATTGCGGGATCTGGACCTCATCGACGATTGCCTCACCGCGCTAGTGAAGCGCACCGGCACTGGGCTCATCTCGCACTCCAGGCCAGGCGTGAACAGAGCCCTTCTACCTCCCATTCCAGGCCAAGACCGGACCAAGCCCTCTCACCTCGCACTCCAGACCCAGACCGAGCCTCTCACCCCTCAATCCAGGCTAGGTCCCGAACGAGCCCTCTCGCCTCACAGTCCAGACCAGGCCCAGACCTAGCCATCTCACTTCTCAATCCAGGACAGATCCCGAACGAGTCCTCTCGTCTCACACTCCAGGCCAGGCCCAGACGGAGCCCTCACATCTCGCACTCCAGGCCCGGACCGAGCCCTCTCACCTCCCACTCCAGGCCCGGACCGAGCCCCCTCACCTCCCACTCCAGGCCCGGACCGAGCCCTCTCACCTCCCACTCCAGGCCGAGCCCGGACCGAGCCCCCTCACCTCCCACTCCAGGCCCGGACCGAGCCCTCTCACCTCGCACTCCAGCACCAGACTCTCGCCGAGCAGGCACTTGGTGGTGGCCGGCAGGGGGCGACTGAAGCGGGGTGCGTTCCTCGGCCGGCCGATGAGGATCGGCAGCGAACACGAGCCCTCGCCCCAGCCGAACCGGTTTCGCGGCGTCACGCGGAAGATGTAGGAGCGGTCCGGCTTCAGGTCGAAGATGTCCATGCTGGTGATGACGGACATGCCCACCTGGCGACGGCAGATGCGTCAGGAAGGAGGAGAGAGGAGAAAAGGGAGGGAAAGAGAGAGAGAGAGAGAGAGGAGAGAGGGAGGAGAGAGAGAGAGAGAGAAGGAGGGGAGGAGGAGAGAGAGAGGAGAGAGGAGAGAGAGGAGAGGAGGAGGAGAGAGGGGGGGGGGGGAAGGAGAGAGAGGAGAGCGAGGAGAGAGGAGGGAGGAGGAGAGAGAGAGAGAGAGAGGAGAGAGAGGAGAGAGAGAGAGAGGAGAGAGAGAGAAGAGGGAGGGAAAGAGAGAGAGGAGAGAGAGAGAGAGGAGAGAGAGAGAAGAGAGAAGAGAGAGGAGAGAGAGATAGAGAAGAGAGAGAGAGAGAGAGAGAAGAGAGAGAGAGAGAGAGAGAGAGAGAGAGAGAGAGAGAGAGAGAGAGAGAGAGAGAGAGAGAGTTGGCAGGGCGAGGACTGAAACCCTGAACTCAAAAGCAAATTCGCCACTGGGTGCTGGTTGGATGTTCAATTCGCTTGGAATACGATCCGCCTCATATGAACGTGATTTTGCCTAGTTCGATGCGTGTCAGACAGAGTGCAATTGTTACCAATGAACTCCTATTTAAAGAAAGTATGGTTTGCTACTACCGTCCACAAACATATGCGTATGCTTGCGTAAGAGTTTCACCAGTAACATATTGCTCCCTTCCCCGCGTCCTTACCGTGTCCCACATGGCGTCTTCACACTTGAGCCAGGCCTCCACCTTGTACGACAGGATGGGAGCACCGCCGTTGTAGAGCGGCCGTGGCCAGCCCAGCGAGACCCAGTTTTGACCCACGTCCTTGGCAAATGGCAAGCTCGGCAGGGGGCCAGGCACATCTGGCGACAAATCCTCGGATTTAGATACGGCACGCACACGCTGCTGAACCCCAACCCCAGCTGTCATGATGACGCACAAGCCAACTTGCCTCACGGCACCGGATACAAGTGACTTGTCCTGGCCAGAGCCCTGCAAACTCTTCGGCTGTGTCCGCTCAGTTATGCCACCCTTAAGAGCACGCCATAGCTTCCTGTGCAGCATTGCACAGCATGTCATCTATCCGCATGGCACGAGACGGCGGCGGCAGAGCATAGAGCAGCCGAGCCAGCGCGACGGCCGTGTGATGCTGGGCGCCACCGGGGCCGTCTGCTCGTCAGGTACCTTGTGTGTAGCGCTGAGTCCGCCTCAGTTCGGCGTTGGCCATCAGACGGGACGAGGTGCGGCTGTCCCAGTCGGGTGTCTGCGCCCGGTTCGGGTCCTTCACCTGTGGGGAGGGGGCGGCCTCAGCGCAGGGAGGAGTGGGCGGTCTTAGCCTTGGGAGGAGTGGGTGGTCTTAGCATCGGGAGAAGCGGATGGCCTTAGCCTCGGGAGGAGTGGTCGGCTTCAGTATTGGGAGGAACGGTCGTCACGAGCCGTACATCAGGCTGCGTGCAGGGACTCTGGGCGTGTGTTGGTGGAACAATGGCTCGGCGCTGCGCACGGGGTATGATGCTCGGAGACCGGGGTTTCTTTTGGGAGGAACATTACGAGGTCGCGGCTGCTGCACAAAACAGCAGTTTTGTCATTTATGGTGGCATATATATATATATATATATATATATATATATATATATATATACTCAATTTACGAAAGCGCAAATCCATGGGCCACGAGGCTGTGCGTTATAACCAATAACAGAGCAGCCTCTGCATGTGTTGTGCAGAGTTGCTGTGGCTATGCTGACACTGGGGCAAGATCAAAATCCCTCGTTTTCAAGCCGAAGCCGCAGCACACACTCTGGGCACCTCATCACCCTCTCACCTCCTCACGACTTGCTCTCTCAGCAGCAGGCCACCGTGCCGCGTCACGTACCCTGATGAGCACGTAGCAGCGGTCGACGCCCTCGCAGTTCTGAGCCTCTATGCAGTAGGTGCCCGAGTCGGAGTAGTGCAGCCCGCTCAGGCGCAGGTGGTGCAGCTCGCCCACTGTCTCCAGCGTGCCGCGGTGCGACGCCAGCAGGTTGTGGCGGCCCTTGTGGAACGTGACTGCCCGAGTAAGGGCGGAGGTTAGGCAGAGGTTAGACATAGTGAGCAGCAGGTATCCGCCTAATCCCTCCCGCAGTCCCCGGCCCCTGTCTCACCCTTGGGTCGAAGCTCACCAGCGCTGCGGGTGGTGAGCGGCAGGCCCATCCTGATCCCTCCGTCAGTCCCTGGCCCCAGCCTCATCCTTGGGTCGAAGCTCGCCGGTGATGAGGGTTGTAAGCAGCAGGTCCCCTCCTGATCCCTCCGTCAGTCCTCGGCCCCAGCCTCACCCTTAGGTCGGGGCTCGCCGGTGATGCGGGTAGTAAGCAGCAGGTCCCCGCCGCTCGCCACGCGGATCATATCCTCCGGCTTCTCTATGATCCGGGGCGGCCGTCGAGAGCCGGACACGCCGAAGCTGCGCACGGCGGGACAACGGCGGCGTCAGAAATGGCGCGCGCCCTCAACGGCAGCCGGCAGACACTCTCTGGCGCGCGCCCTCAACGGCAGCCGGCAGACACTCTCAGCCATCCTCCTACACACACTCCGGTCGTGGGACTTCGTATTTATGCGGAAACAAACAAAATACCGGGCCTACGTTAGCTTGGTCGCATAGAGCACGCCAGTTCACATGCCTACAAGCCCGGGGTATTTTGCCGCGCCTCTCATAAGCAGCATCGGAGGCTACAACAATGTTTCGGTGAGTCACGATGCCACATAAACCAGTTTATTTTGGAAAATGTCTATACTCAATCTTGTACACTGGCACATAGCAATTTCCAACAGCTGAAACTGCATGCCAGGCCCAACAGGTAAGGTATACCGTAGTTACAGTTGGGCCTTCACGACTCGACTGCGGCAACCAGATGATGTGGATATTGTCCATTTATGGCTGCGCCCATTGTAAATGCCATATGTCGGACCATCTGACCTGCCGGTCGCCCTTGCGACGGGCCGTGACCAGGCACCGACTCTACCTGTCTGACCTGCCGGTCACCCCTGCTACGGGCCGTGACCAGGCACCGACTCTACCTGTCTGACCTGCCGGCCACCCCTGCTACGGACCGTGACCAGACACCGACTCTGCCTGTCTGACCTGCCGGCCACCCCTGCTACGGGCCGTGACCAGGCACTGACTCTGCCTGTCTGACCTGCCGGCCGCCCCTGCCACGGGCCGTGACCAGACACCGACTCTGCCTGTCTGACCTGCCGGCCGCCCCTGCTACGGGCCGTGACCAGGCACCGACTCTGCCTGTCTGACCTGCCGGCCGCCCCTGCTACGGGTCGTGACCAGACACCGACTCTGCCTGTCTGACCTGTGGGCCGTCCCTATTACCGGCCGTGACGGACGCCGGCTCGGTGCGGCTTACCTGACTGTAGCCGACGAGCCGGCCGAGCCGTGCGGCTTACCTGACTGTAGCCGACGCCGGCTCCGTGCGGCTTACCTGACTGTAGCCGACGAGCTGGCCGAGTCGTGCGGCCTACCTGACTGTAGCCGACGCCGGCTCGGTGCGGCTTACCTGACTGTAGCCGACGAGCCGGCCGAGCCGTGCGCGTTGGAGGCTCGGCAGCAGTAGGTGCCCAGGTCGGAGGCGGTCAAGCCGTACAGCGAGAGCGTGTAGTCTGGGAAGCGGCCCCACGCCCGTAGCTTGGCCGACGACTGACGGACGCTGTGGCCGTTGTAGAGCCAGGTGATGTCCGGTACCGGGGTACCTGCACGCGGCGGGCGACGGTCAGTGGCGGCTATTGCGGCAGGTGCGGGCCAAAGGGCGTAATGCTCGATTGGCATTACAAAAAAATGGAATATGAGTCTATATGGAATCATGTTGTAATTCTACAAGCAGTGATCTTGTGTGATCCAGCAGTGATCAGAGATCAGTGTGTCGGTGAAAACTCAGTTGTCACAAAATTAGTCTGATTTCTAAGTGCTTACAGAGCGTCCTTCCGGTTTTGTCATATTTATGAAACAAGCATGCTAAACTTGCATTTCAAGGCTATATTCGGTTGAATGTGTAAGACACGACGTTTGCTGGTAACAGTATCCCAGTGCAGCACATCTTACAATCTTAAGCTGCAACTGTAAAAGTTTTGTACGCGATGTATCTAATTATGTAAACGTAATGCCAAAAGCAAGAAATACATACCAATGGAAAATAAACCCGAGTAGACATCACATTTTAGGTATCAAATAACACACACCACACACAATCTTGATGTCTGCCGTCTACTGACAACCATCAACATTCATGGACTACGTCTATGAATGCAAAATCTGACTATCACCGTCCATGGCTCAACTTACACATCGGCAGCGAGGCTAGGAAAACCCGATTATCTCACCGAGTCGTGTGGTCTCACCAGTGTATACATGACTGTGTCGCTTCTCACCGGCATGTATCGATTTTGTCAGCGCGTGCACGCGGAATGAACGAAAAACCCCCGGTGCGAAATACCCCCCGGTTCAGCTGAGGGCCTCAGACAATGCCACACCGTGTGACGTTACAGGCCCCCCGCCGTCGCCGCCGGCGGCGTCGGGCTCTCACCGATGTCGCGGAGCCGGGCGCGGATGTAGCGGTTGGGGTAATACTCGGGTATGCTGAAGGCCAGCCCAGGCCAGGTGCCGGTGCGGTAGTGTTTGCGGCTGACGTAGACGATGCGGGGCCGGAGCAGGCCCAGGCGCCTCCAGGCCGGCGGACAGTGGTAGTGGAACGGCGCCGGGTACCGCGCCAGGCGCTCCAGCTGCGACGTCACCGACGGCCGCTCCGGCGCTGACGTCACCCACGGTCGGCCGGGTGACGTCATGCCGCGGCCGGGTGACGTCACGCCGCGGCCGGGTGACGTCACACCGCGGCCGGCGGCTGCCCGGGCAGGTCGCGTCAGGGCAGGACGTCCAGCGGCCGGCTCGCGCACACTGAGCGCCAGTCACGAGCAGACTACGGTACGGTCTGGGCACTGCAGCAATGTATATCTCAAAGTGCTTACATGCTGACTAATTCACAGCAGTACATTGGGTGCGAGCTATTTGTAAGATGGATAACCATTCCTAGGACTTATCACATAGGTGCTTCATACATGGCATGCAGAACACCCTGTGGTATAAGCTATACGAATACGCACTATCCTACGCCGAGCCTTCAACCTTACGGAGACATCTGCAAGCGAGTATACCAGTCTCACGACCTCTCCAGTCACTTACCGGCCACCCTGACCTTGAGGTCAAGGTTTTGACCCTCCCTGACCTCGACGTCCCGCAGGGCGTCCAGAAAGACTGGCCTACTGGCGGCCGAGCCCACGTCGGCCCGCTCCGGCGAAGGCGTCCTCCTTGACCGACGTTCTGCCAACACGGCGAGACGTGAACTGAGGGTGCGAACTGAGGCGCAGATCAGCGGCAAGGGAAACATTGAGACAACGACGTGGGCGACTCAGGGCCAGCGGCCAGTGGGGGAGGGGGGGATTAGAATGAGCATGAAAACCACGGAGTGTGAAAATGAATCAAAGGATGATTTGGTACCATCATTGAACTGAATATGTCTCCCTGATCTCAAAGGACCTCACTAGGATCTCACCTGGCACTGTGATCTGCTCCGATATTTCATCTTTGTGCACTCTGTTCTCGGCGACGCACGTATACTTCCCGTTGTCTCCCTCATGAGGGGACTTAACTAGCAGCTTACCTGCGAGAGAACAGCCACATCATGCAACGGAATCAAATCGAAAGGTCGCGCAAAAGCAACGTCGTGCGGCAGCTGTCACCGTGGTATTTATTGACAGAACCTACCTAACATGAAGCTCAAACGTATCAGCGCAGCCCTGTCAAAACAGTTTCTCTCAATAACTCCGGATACTTGATACAGATGTATTCGGGTGTACAGATGCCGTCCTCGGGCAGGGATGCCAGTGGGTTAGGTCTCGTTACACTCACAGATGCCGTCCTCGGGCAAGAATGCCCGTGGGTTAGGTCTCGTTACACTCACAGATGCCGTCCTCCGACACTGTCTGGTGGAAGCGGCTTGACTTGTGCATTTGACAGTCATCTTTGAGCCAGGTGACCTTGGGCAGCGGGTGACCGGTCATCTGGCACTCGATGATGAGCACGTCGTCCTCCAGAATGTAGGACACTGAGGTAAGGTTACGACAGCGAGTCAGTCACGACAGATCCAGCAACAAATACTAGCGCCCTGTAAAATGGTAGATCCCACGGAAATAATGGAAGTAACGGCGACAGAACATGCCAAAATAACGGATCACAGTGATCAAACTTCGCAATGCATTGACTTCGGAATGCAGTGCAGGCCAGGCTTGCACATACATTTTGAATAATTATCATGATGTAATGAAGTTCTTAGGGTGTTAGGTGCGTGGGCTAACAGTAAAAAGATGGATGATATACCAATGGCAATCCTTTGAAGTAGCGATAGCCTTTAGTTGTATCAGTTGGACCAATTTTTTAAGTTGCTCTTAGAGCGTGATCCCTCACTTTACATTATTGTGAGGCACGAATTTTTGAAGAGATGTATTTTTCTTATTAAGCATGCTTTGATGCTCGCCCTTCGAATATTTTTGAGACACTCGCCCCTCGAGGGTGTCTCTGAGGTCCTTACGAGCTAGAAAATTTTGCAGGCCAGGCTAGGGCAGCGGAGAAAACAGAATTGGTCAGTTTTTGTTAAACTGTGTCGGATAGGTGCAACTGAACGATAGTAAATGCAATCTTTGGCAGGTAAAACAAGGTTATATGGGTCAAATTAGCACTTTTACTTTATGGACACTTCCTGTCACCTAAAGGACTGATGATTCCACGGTAATTCGGCAAACGGCGGTGAATGACTCTCGAAATTCTTTCGGACGGAGACCAGCCAAAGCCGAGAAGCGTGGCCTGTGATATGCCACGTCAGGCCAAGGCGAACAAAAACATCAGAATGAAGGTGCTACATCCCTGAGAGAGGAATCTAGGAAAATCCATCTAGAAAACCCGTTCGGAGAACATGTCTGACCAGAAATAGGCGTTATCAACCGCTTTGAACCAAAACCTAGGCATGACCTCTGCACCCCCTCCCCCTCCCGCTCGTGAGGTGGGGGTAAACAGCTCGCCGGCTGACCGGGATTAATGAACCCAACTTCTAAACAGAAGAGGAGGTCGCAGCGTAGCACCGGTGGACGTACCTCGGAGTCCGGTGAGGAAGGTGGGCGGGCTGGGGCGCGGCTCGATGGCGCCTCCCCGCACGTGCAGGTCGGCCGTGCAGCTGGCGCGGCCGTGCACGTTGCGTGCTGTGCACGTGTACTCGCCGGCGTCCTGGTGGCCGACGTCACTGATCTCCACCGACGCCACGCCCTCGGGCGACAGCGACAGCCGCAGGCGCGGGTCGGCCGCCGGGTTCAGGGGCGCGCCGTTGCGATACCTGTCGGTCAGCGTGCCGATTAGAGCCCTTTATGGGGAGGACTTCCCTTACCCAATCCACCCATTGTTCACGGGGCTGTACCAATAACCGCCCGCTCCGCATTTGTCATTAGGTAATCACTTTTTCATTAGGTATCAGGAATGTTTTGCCCATGTCTGGGACGATGGTGGGAAGGGGTTGCAGTTTTGACAATTTATACCCTGGTTTATAATGTGAGAGCAACTGATATGTAGACCTAAATGCCAAAAAACCAATGTCGCATATTAAGGAAAGAGGACAGTCCCCTCCCTTCCACACATGAACAATTCGAGGGTGTTCTCGGACGCCGAGACTGACCAATCGACTTCGATGGGCGCGTCGTCCTCGGAGATGCAGGCACAAGTGAGCTTGACGCGGGTGCCGACGATGGTGGTGCGGTCCTGCAGGCGCGTGCTCCAGCGAGGACGCTTGCGCGGGTCGCGACGGTGCTCCTGGGGACAGCAAGCTGGCGGTGGTCTCTCGATACTGCACCCAGGCACCAGTTTGACGAAAAGAGGTAATGCCCGCCGCGAGACCTTTCGGAATCTATTATTCAGTACGATTCATGATATCAGGTGTTGTAATTAATGTAGTAAGATATAATTGGTTCATTTGGCAATGATCCATGCTCTTGTACGCAAACTCCGTTGGAAAAAGAAGTCATACAGCAAACTTGTTGGCTGCGCATGCCACGGAGACTAAGCCAGAGTGCAGACTGAGTAAGAATGCGAGGGTGACAGAGTCTGCATAAAGAAAATATCCTACTTACTGCGTAGTGATCGGCGCTCTCCCGTCTTCGTCGCTGGGCCGGCTCTGGTGATTTCAGATCACCACCGTCGTCCCGCTTAGGAAAGCTTTGCTCAAAGGTAGGACCTGACGGGGCTCCTTCAACACTTCTCTCGTCTTTCTCGAGTTTTGCAGGTTTATCTGATTGCGGAGGCGCGGTCTTTGTGTCTTCAGCAGCACCTAGCGATTTGTCTTCACCGGTAGGTGCTTTTGAAGACTTTCGCTTCTTTTTCTTTTCTGAGCTCGGACGGCTTTCTTTGTCCTCCGATTTTGCATCCGTTGGCGGTTTTTCCTGAGAGGGATGGCTTTCGACGGAATCTTGTTTCACCGTATGCTCTTTCTTTGGAATGTTTACCTCATCCGCGGCAACTGCAACTGGCTTGCCTTGTTGTTTGGCTTCCTCCAGCAATTCGGGTTCTGGCTCCTCTTCCAATTCCTTTTTCACTCCTTTGTGTGGCTTCCTTGATGGCAATTGCTTTTCCGCATCTTTTCCGTCATCCTCGGATAGTTTACCAGGCTGTTGTGTCAATCCGGAGTCCGATGGAGCAGCAGCAAATCCTCTGGCTTCTTGACTTTTCTGTTCTAGCTTTTGTGTGTCTCTAGACGCCTTTTTGGTCTCGTCCGATACCTTTTGTTTCTCTTTAGTTAAATGAGAATCGACGGCATGCTGTTCAGAACTAGACTCAATTTCAGCACTACTTCCAGCGTTCGGTTCCGCTTCTTTTGCTTCGCGCGGTTTTCCCAATGATTTCTTGCGTTTGCCGATTATTGGTTCAATGTCCTGTGAGCTGTCAGATTTGGATGCAGACTTTTTGACGGCGCTGGCCAGTTTATCTTCGGTGCGCATCACTAATGGAATGTCTTCAGTTCCATCGGCACAAGTCATCGCCGCCTCCCTCCTCTCGTTTCTGCTCGTCCCGTCTCTTTCGTCTCTCGATTTGTCAACTTTAGTCTTTTTGTCCTTACTGCCAAGATCTGCCGAGTGTAAAGTTGGTTTATCCTCCAAGCCGGCTTCTTTATCGTTGCTCGCACCGTCCGCTTCGCTAAGCTGCTTTGTAGCCGGTTTTTCGCCTTTGCTAAGCCTTCTGGAAGGCTCAGCTTTTTCGGTGTCACAAGGTGCTGTTTTCTTTTTGGACGTGCGCATACCTTTCGTAGTTTTCTCTTCCGCGTTCTTCGTATCGCTCGTTTCTTCGGTCGTTTCAGCTATTTTCGTTTCGAGGTGATCGTGACGAGCTTCGTCCTTCCGTTGCAGTGGTGCAACTTCCGGGGCTTCGTTTCGTTTTGTGGTCTGTCCGGCTGCATTTGTTTCTGGTGGTCCCTTGTCTGACGCTTTGTCAGTAGTTTCTTCTTTAGGCTTCCCTGACTTTTTCGCTTTATGATTTTTGTCATCACGAATCGCTCGGGTGGCACTAGCACTGAGCGGCTCCTGCACAGGCTTCACTGTTACAGCACCCTTAGTTGTGGAGACGTCACTGATGGGCTCAGCCACTGGTGGCTCATCATCCTGCTCTCTCGAGGCAGACTTTGCCGTGTTCATGTCTTCAGTCGCAGTTTCTGCATCGGGTGAGCCTCTCCGTTCAGCGACATCCAAAGCCGCCTTGTCTGATTCATTGTCTAGTGTCGATGTCCCCAAATCTCCAGAGAGAGTATGCCGCTTGTTGCTCTCGCCTCTAACACGGGCCTGATCAACTGCACTTTTCTCAACCTTTGCAGAGCGTGTAAGCAGATCACTGGGAGAAATTGGCAAAGTACTATGCTCCCCGAGCTCCCCGGTACCAGCATCATCTGTATGCAGCTCTGGTGAATCGGGCACAATGTTTGGATCAGGGGGTTTCGTGGCGGGCTCGCTTGTCATTTTCATTCTCTTTCCTTCAATTTCGTCCTGTGGCGGAAGAATGACACGCTCCTCGATGAGGGCGCTGTCTAGCTTCCCGGGTGGTTTTATAGGTAGGCTAGCTGCTTCTGTCGGTTGAATTTCTTTCCCAGATTTCGATTCAGCTGACGTACCAGCTTCAACGTTGCTAGCTGCTTTGGCTTCAACTGCGTCCTTACTTGTGTTCGTTTGATCTGCACCGAGAGGCTGTTTATCCTCTGACGGGGATAAAGGTTCACCTGGGCCTTCTACCATGGGCCCAGGTACGTTCTGATCCGCGGTACTGATTTGCTCTTTAGGCTTGTTTTGTGCATCTTTGTCTTCTGCGTCTTGCTTTCTTCTCTTCTTCCTCTTGGCTGCCTCTGCTTGAAGTTTCTTCTCGTCATCTGCTTCTTTCAATTTTTCTTCGATCTCCATCTGTTCTTTCTTTTCGGAAAGCTTTCTTTTACGGTCTTCTTCTTCCTTCGTCCGTTGTTCTTCTGCTTCTCTCGCTTTCTGTTCGGTTTCTTCCATTTTCTTCTTTTTATTTTCTGCTCTCCTTTCTTCTTCTTCCATTTCCAACTCATCATCGATCAGCTTAAGTTCTTTTCTTATCTTTTTCACGCACGATGCCAACATAGTCTGAAGCTCTTCAGCCGTCGTCTCAATTTTTACATCGTTCTCAGATGTACCCACTCTAAGTCGAATGTCCATCTCTTCAGTAACAGCATCAGCAGACTTGGCAACATCTCCCACACCAGACGCACTGCTGACTGACTTTCCCTCGGGAACCCTATCCATCAGCGTAGCTAGCTGTTTCGCACACTTGCTCAGCACGCTAACAGCATTTTTCATGACGTCACTGGAGCTAATTGGCATTGCTTTCTCACGGACGGATGGCTCCAAAAGATGCAAGTCATTGATGCAGGTATGGACATCTTCGGCAGCTTTTGATACCACTGCAACTTCAGATGACCAAGACTTGGTTGGCGAGCTATTACTAGCACCACTGCTGACAAGCATGCCGAAAAACTCGTTGGTGGACTTTTTAAGAGCGCCCAGGTCTTCACCGATAATCCTCCTAGCCTCCCGACCGTGATAAACAGTTGTGGCGTTCGCATGTTCCTCACCGATGTCTCGTAACACCCTTGTGAGAGTACCCGTCGCAGAGGTCATATCCTTCACACTGTCCACGAACACATCGCTGAACTGCGGCACCGGCGTAGCCTCCGCGACCTTGGCCAGCGTCGCTGGGACTGCCAGCGCCTCTTCCTTCAGCTGCTGGAACTGCTCCAGTCGATGCCGAAGAGGTGGGTGGACCGCAGCAAGGTCCTCGCATGGCACGACCCCGCGCATCTTGGTGACGACGTCCGCAGCGTCGCGGGCCGCCGCAGTCAGACTGGCTTCCAGCACCTCTTGCGCGCGCTCCGGCAGCACGCGGTCGCCGGTGACGCTCGTCACTGCCGTCACCATCTTGGCAGCAGCGTGCCTGCTGGTGGCTGCCTGCAGATTGACGACGGCATCGGCACCCGGGCCGCGTTCTACTAGCGCCCGCTCCACGGCGCAGAGTAGGCCGTCCAGCGCGCCGCCAAACTCTCCAGCCTTCTCTGCCACCACCATCTTGGCTTCGAGGCCCTTCATCTGCTCCACGGCTGCCAGGCGCACGCTGTTGCTTGTGCTGATGGCGTCCGAGAGCTGCTGGATCCGGTGGGAAACGGCCTGGGCTTTGGCTTGGCAAGCTGAATCCTGTTCTTTCCAGGGTGGTGCGCTAAGCGCATCAGTCATCTCCTGAAAGCTGGTAACGAGGGCTGCTACGGAGTCGCGTACCTTTTCGGCTGCCGGTTTGCCAATTATGTCAATGCGATCCTTTTGTATTTTTGTTGCCATTTTTGTACCCCTCACGCTTCTGATGGTGTCCTGTAGGGCGTCAGTAACTTGCGCCAGGTCCTTACCTATAGTCGACGATTGCGCCCGGAATCCAGGCAGGTCGTGCGAGCTTTCCTGTATGACCTGAGCCATCGTTTCTAGAGTCTTTCCCAGTTTTTCGGCGGCGCTTTCAGCCTCCCGAATGGTGGCTATTTCGCCGCCCACCGCGCGTTTCACAATGTCCGACAGTGTTGCCGCGCAATCAAGGGCTTCAGCTGAGTTAGAGGCCAAAGGCGAAAGAGTTGGAGTGGAATCTGCTGCAGCTGCATCCAGTGAAGTCGAGCAGGGAGGTGTCAATGTTTTTGATGACTGGGTGTCTTCAGCCAATGCCAGTTCTACTACGGCTGACTCCTCAACGGTAACATCTTCGCCTGCAGATGGCTTTTGAGCGACGAGCTCACCGACCACCTCTGGTTTTTTAATGGCCGATGCAATGACTTCAGCCGTTTGCTTACCAGTCGATTTCTTGGCTTCAACCGGTTCCGTATGAGTCGATGACGGGGCCTCTGGAGGTTCATAAATAGACGTATTCTGGACGTCTGACGACTTCTCAGTGGCTGATTCCTTGGCTTCAACTGGTGCCAAAGGTGACGGTTTCTTTTTCTCCGCTGACTTCGCAGGCAATTTCTCGACTGTAGCTGCTTCAGAAAGACTCGATTCCACGACATCTGCGGATTCGCTTGGAACCAGTGCTTCCAACTCAGGTGAATTCTGAGCAGCGGGAGACTCAACATAAGACGTTTCCTTGGTGGCTAAATCGCTCACACCCGGAACTGGTACCTGCGGGACAGCATCCCCTATTGCCTCCTCTTTACCCTCAAATGTCCCCTTGCCTACGGCGATTTTATGTGAAGGTGCTATTGCATCCTCTGGTGGCTCAGGTACAGATGGACTAGATCTTATCTCAGTTTGTTCAGGCTTGTCAGATGTTTTTAAAGCTTCTGGTGTCCTCAGTTCTTCCGAAAATGGTATCCCGACGGATTTTGATGTTTCATCGCTAGCTTGCAGTGTCGGGGAATGTGTCTCGAGCTCATGATGCTGTTCTCGTTTCGCATCCGTGTCAGGCTTAGTTTTTATGGCGCTGTTTTCTTTCTCCGGAACTGAGCTAACAGTCTCCGCCGGAATCTCGTCCTTACATTCCACTGCAAGCTGCTCTACCTTAGCACACACGTGCGTCGCGTCGGCAACATCTTTTAGCACTTCCACTCCTTCCACGATGACAGTCTTTTTCTCCTGGCCTTCCACTGGTAACGTTTTTGCCCTCGGCAGGTTCTCGGGGTGCAGAAGGATCTCCATCAGATAAGGCGCCTCGGAGGCGAGCGCCGCCTCAATGCCCAGAGCCTCGGTCGTCTGCGGCCGTTCGAGCGCCTCGCTGACAATGTCGCAGATGCCCTGCAGCTTTTTGTTGGTGTTCGAGTCCAGCGTGTGCCCTCCTTCACTCACGTCTTGCAGGCTCCGCGCGATGGTCGACTTCTCGGCTGTGAGCGCCAGGATGGTGTCCGCCTGCACGCAGAGGTTGTCTATCCTGGTCCGCACGCCCTCGCCGTCCTCCACCAGCTGCGGTCGACCGGCCACGAGGTTGTCCGTCACCGCCGACACGCTGAGCAAGGTGTCCCGGTAGTCGGATATCTTACTGATCAGCGAGGAGTCCACGTCGCCGGAGCTGGCACTGGAGCTAGAGACCATGTCGCGCACGGAGCGCGTCAGCTCCTCGATGCTGGAGTGCAGTGTGCCGCAGACGGCGCGCACCTCGTGCGGCGTCGGCGCCGGGGTCTCGTCGGCCACCGGTGACTGACTGCGCATGCGCTCCACAGCGGCCGAGACACGCCCCACCTCGTCCGTCAGCGTTTCTGAGTCGTTCGCCAGCGTCTGCAGCAGCTTCAGCGAGCCGATGGCCGACATCACGTTCAGGATATTTTCAGTGTCGATTTTGCCGTCTCCTAGTGGCTCCAAGTCGCTGATTCGCCGCCCTGGAGAGGCCCGCTGCCCCGCAGCCCCGTCACTACCCCCGGAGAGATCCTGCACTACGTCGTCCAGCAGCATGGAGCTGGATTCGTCCTCGTTGGACGTGTAGCCCTCGCTGCGCGACTTCTCCACGGCGCTGCTGATGGCGCTGCCGACCTCTTGCACGGCACGAGAGATATTCTCCGCCGCCTCGCGTACCAATCCGACGTGGTTCTGCGTGACCTCGGGGATTAGCTCGGACGGCACCTCGACCAGTCGCGCTGTAAAGCTGCTCACACTCTCGCGAAGCGTGTGAATATTGGCGGAAACCTCCATGATCGCCGGCGCCACCAGCTCCTCCAGCACGCGATTGTCGAGTGGGGTCGCATCGTCGAACGTCTGACTCGACCCTTCCACCGACGCCGCCAGCTGCAGCATCGTCTCGTTCAGCTGCTGCAGCTGCGGCGCTACGGCGTCGCTGTCCGTCACGCCGCCTAGCGCAGCTGACAGCTGACTGATGACGTCACTCACCGAGTCGGCTCGCGAACGCAGCATGCCTGGCGATGGCTGCGAGGAGAGGGCGTCCACTAGAGCCTCGGTGAAGTTCTCTGCGCTCTCGTTCAGACTGTCGCACGCAATGACGACCTGCTCCTTGGTGGCTTCAGCGTCGGTGACAGTCGTTTTGACAGACTGTTCAGCGGTACCTTTTCGGCTCTTTTCACTGTCCTGAATTATTTTTGATAGATCATTTACTATGGAAGCAACCACGGTTGCTCTCTCAGCGACCATCTCATCTTTTAAAGACGACAAATCGACGGAGTGTTCGTTCACGCAGGACGCCAGCGAGGTCAGACTATGCTGCAGGTTCTCGGTCATTCCCTCTATAACATCCTCTGCGGGAGCTTCATAAGTTTCAGTCCTTTCTAAAGATTTTTGGTGGACAAGCTTGCCCAGCTCGGTAATTTCTTCTTTCAGTTCAGCGACGGCCTGCTTAGATTTTGCATTATTGGGAGCGTCCTGGGCGTTAATCTGAGATTCAATATTGTCCAAAATGTTGGCCAGCGCGTCTGCCCCGGATGTAGCAGATCCTACTTCGACACTTTGTCCATCAATAGCGGCCTTAACACTCTTGGAAAGCTTACCAATGGCCTCTTCGACAATAGGTTTCATGGCTGAGTCTCCTTCTGTCTCGCCGGGAGCATTTGTGGTCAGGTTCGAGTCATCTTCCTCAGGCGACCTTTCGGCTGCAACCCTTTTAACTTCAGCAATTGCGAGATCACTCAGCTGTTTATGTGGCTTAGCTGAATCGCTTTGTTCTGCTGCTGCTTCTGCTGCTACTGATGCGTCAAGAGCGGTATCTGTGAAATTCGACACGTCCTGTTCTTTTTTGTCAAAAACATCAACAGCTTCTTTATGCTTCTGTATGGCATCCGAGCTGTTATCAAAGTCCATGGCTTCGCCATCAGATGGATGAATCGCTTCTGTATCCATTGCAAACTCAGAAGACTGTTCCGAGCTTACTGGGAGCATCTCGGACAGTGCATCTGTGACGTCATTAACCCACGATGTGAGAATCTCATCCTTGATATCTGGCTGTAGTTGCAAACTCTTCTTGCTTCCGGCCACTAGCGTCATCACAACCTTCTTCAGTTTGGATGCCTTTTCAGTAATCTCGCCTGTAGTCGGGTGAGACTTGGCGGCAGCAAGCAGACTCGGCAGAGGCTCCAGCTGTCGTCGCAGCTGTGTACACGCCTCCATCAGCTGTGACGTCATATCCTCCGTCGGGCGCGCTCGCACCGCGACCAGCAGCTCCAGCAACGAGAGGTAGAACGCCTCACTCTGTTCGCTGATGACGTCCAGGGCCTCTTCCGAATCTGCCGGCTTCGAGATCAAGGACTCCGCGAGGGCTTCGAGTTGTCCCTCGACACGCTCACAATTCTCGGCGACCACGCGCCGCTGCGGTGCGATTTCGGAGCCGGGCGAGTCAGACCTCGCCTCCACCACGTCCTCGATCGCCGACGTCAGCGCCGCGAAGCTCTGCGCCAGCTGCTCGCACGCGTCCGGCAAGACCGCCTGCGCATCCGCCGTCGCGGCCACCTCAGCCACGCGCCGCGCGGCGGCCTCGGCGGCGCGGCCGCGCTCAGTTATTGTCTCTACCGCGGCGCAGACAGCGTCGGACGTCGCCTGGTCCGGCTCGGCCGCTTTTAGCGCGTACTCAGCCGTGTCGAGCAGTGAATCGACAGCCTCGTTGACGGTGGCGACGAAGCGTACCGCCTGCGCCTCGGGCATGGCGCGCGGCTGTCGCTGCATCGTCGCCATGAGCGTCATGGTCTCATGTTTCACGGTCTGACCGAGGTTAGAAAGCCGGCCAAGACTGTCCTTGTCGTTGGCAGCGACTGCGCTGCAGGCCAATTCCGTCAGCAGCACGGAAGCTTCCCGGAAGCTGGAGGCCCTTTCATTGATGAGTGCATCCGAATCCTTGGACGTCACCTCTTCCATTTGCTTCCTCACGGCTCGGTTACAAGCAGAGACGGCGGAGTTCAACTTTTCCACAGCTTCCGCGACGTTGGCCAGTTGCTTTTTGACGACTTTTGCGATCGGCGTACCGCCCTCAGCACTTTCCTCTATGAGGATTGTCATGTTCTGAACAGCCTGCTTCAGCACGGCACTGCTGATGCCCACATCAGATATCTCCTTTTGTACCTTCGCCCTGCAGCTTTCATCAAGCGTGAGACAAGCTTCGCTAGGAGTTTCGGCCACAGAAGCAGTTAGCTGTCCTAGGTCATCGTTCAGCTTCTGCACTTGCGCCTGGTCCACCTCCATTTGGCCGGCACTCTGGACTGCGGCGATGAAGTTTTGCACCGTGTCACACACGGACCAGGTTAGGTTCTCTATGGACGCCGCCGATGGTAGCTTCATCTGCGCTGTGACCTCTACGACCTCGGTGAGCGATGTCACCGAGGCGTTGAGAGATGCGCTGGCATCGCACAGGGACTTGGGACTTGAAGGAGCAGCCATCTCTTCGGGTTGTTTCACTGCGGAGTCGGAGGCGCTTTTCTTCACAGGTCTTTCGACTGGTTCCACGATTTTTTCTTTCGCTGGGACTACACCAGCACACGCTAATACAGACTTTTCAGCCTTGTTCAGAGCGTTTATTGTCGTCTCAAAGTTCTCGAACAGTTTCTGGATGGGTTCACCAGGGTCAGGAGAGGCTAGCATAAGGCGCATATCTTGGATATTTTGGTCGAAGCAAGGTCTGATGTTTTCAAGGTCTTGTATGGCTTTGGATTGGTTTGGAGAAAGCGAGCGACGCTTGACTTTGGCGTCTTTAGCAGCCCGAAGCAGCTCCTCGTTGTCAACGCATGCTTTAACCAGTTTTGCCAGTGATGCCTCAGCCTTTTTAAATTTCTGAGCAATTAGCTCTTTGGCCGCTTGAGGCAGGGCAACACATTTCTCAAACTTCTGTCCAAGTCGCTCCAAATGTTCTTTCGCTTGGATTTGTTTGTCTTGCAAGGCTTTATCTTCGTCTACTTTTGTCGCACCAGTAACAGTGGAGCAGATCGTTTTCAAAATTGTGTCAACGCTGGCACGAGCGTTTGCGGACTCCCCAGATATTTTCTTCATGCCTTTCACATCGGCAGAAATTCGTTTTTTCTTTGCCGTAAGCTTCTCAATCGCCAACGACAGATCTTCTGTCTCAGCATCAAAGGCCTCACCTTGCATAAGAAACTTCTGCACCCCGTGCTCCGCAGATGTCGCAGCGGCCTCCCGCATGGCGTTGGTGACATCCTTCAGATCCTCCTTAAACTTGTTTGTAGCAGCCACAATATCCTTCTGCACCCCTTCGAGGAGAGCTTGAATTGCTAGGTTCATTTCAGGCGAGTCGTCGGATCTGAGAGCCTGTGCCGAGGCCTCGGCCGCGTCGGAGACGCGCGAAATACCCCCATTCACAACGGCTAAGAGCTTGATAGCTTCGTCACGAAGTCCGTCGTCGGAGAGAAGATCTGTAAGTGTCACCACGGCAGCCGCCAGGGCCTGCTGAACGGCGGTGGTTTGAAGACTCAGGTCTGCAGAGCCAGTCATCGCGTTGCTCACAACCTTCTTCACTGTTTCGGATAGATTCACGATAGAGTCATTGATCTCAGCGAACTGTCTCGAAATGGAATCATCGTCCACGGGACGCTTCAAAGCCCGTAACTTCATTTGATTTGTCTCTTCAACTGCGTCAACGAGCTTTTGAATCTGATCCCCCACTGTCTCCTCCGTGTTTGGTTTTGTGCTAGTGGCGCCTGCTTTAGTCGCGTCAGCACCAGCCTCGGTAATCAATCGTTCGATTTCCTCGCAGATCAGGTTTATCTTGGGATAAATTGTCCGTTGGATAATTGGTGCAATTCCTTCTATTGACTGTAACATATCAGGCTTTCCAACTGCGTCAGTGGCAAGCTTGTCGTTCACCTTCACTTTGTCGCAGAGTCTGTTCAACGCTAATCTCAGCCTATCAGAATCAAGCCCACCACAAATGGATTCCAAAGCCTCCAAAAAATCATTGGCGAGGACTTCAAACTGGGCTTCCGAGTGGTCAGATGATGTGGTTGCCGAAGCAGATGCGCACACAGCGGTCGATAACATCTCCATGGAGTGAAGAGCTCTTCTGACTGGTGAAGGCTGTTGAAGAGACTCTGTATCGTCAGCAGCAAGCTCTTGCGACCCACTCTTCCTAGCAGAAGCTACCGTAACTATGCTGTCACTGCTCTTCATGGAAACATCGTCATCACATGTCATTTCCACATCCTCCGATTGCAAAGTGTCTGTTTTATGTGCGCCTTCTGGTGCCTTCAGAAGCATGACGTTCTGGATCTGCGCTTCCAGCCCGGACACGATGGCTTCGGGCGAACACACTCGAGCCACACCCGCTGCTTCCCCCGACTCAGCGATGGCCAGAGGCTCCACGGTCTGCCCAACAATGATTTCCTCGCCGCTCGCTGTCATCTGCGAGGGGCTGACTGTTCCCTCTCCAGCCTGTACTGGGGAGACGAGTCCCGGGAGTCCACCGGTGTCTTCCAGACTGGAGGTCTCTGTCACTTCCATTGGCTGAAGCGGGGATGACACTCGCTTCTCCACTTTGACCGGCCACTGTTGAGTCACACATAGTTGTGACCTCCTCAACGCCGGTGGTTTCTGTCACTTGCAAGACCTGAAGGGGTGAGGTTATGCGTTCTCCCGCCTCGGTTGGAGGGAGTGTGTCAGAAATTGTGTCAGCTTCCTCTTGGCCACTGGTCTCTGTCACTTCTATGGGCTGAAGCGGTGATGTAATTCTTTCCCCAGCTTGCAGGTCTGATGACACAGTTCCTGAAAGTTTGTCAACCTCTTCTACCCCAACAATATCCGCAACTTGCGCTGGCTGAAGAGGAGATACAACCCTTTCCCCTTCCTTAGCTGGTGGTGTCCGGTCAGACAACATATCAGCATCTTCCACACCAGAGGTCTCCGTCACTTGAACTCCTTGAAGTGGTGAGACCACTCGCTCTTCTGCCACAGTCGGAGATGATGCATCGGAGAGGCTACAAACATCTTCCAAGCCAGCGGTTTCTCCCACCTTTACTGCCTGCTGCGGCGATGTAACTCTTTGCTCGGCTTCTGACGGAGACGAAATCGACGGGATCCGCGGGTCTGCCTCCTCGAGGTCAATAACTTGCTCCACTTGCGTCTCCGTCAATGGGGATGTAACTCGCTCTCCTGCCGTCACTGGAGACAGCACCCTCTCAAGGTCACTGAGAGCACCCGCGGGCACTTCTTCTCCGACACACACGGCCTGTATGATCTCTAGCGCCTTCTGCACTGCCAGTGAGCTCTCCTCTTCCGTGAGCGGGCCACGCGCCGCTTGAGGCGACAGCGCCCGCTCCAGGTCCCCCAGAGCGGCCTTCGGCGTGGAGACCTCAGCCTCCGCGGCGCGCGCCGCCATAAGTACTTTCTGCGCGATGGCCAGCTGGGGTGAGTCACCGCCGAGTTCTCTCGCCGAGGCGGCGGACATGGTGCGGTCTGATAGCTCCGACACGGAAGCCTCAGAGACGCTGGGCGACAGCGGGTCAGCATGCAGGATCGTCATGACCAGCGCAGCTGTTTGTTGCTTCTCCTCGTCGCTGAGCGCTTCTTTGGCTGATGAGGCAGCGTCTGGCGATTTCACATCACGAACGGAGCCTTCACTGACATCTTCCTGACAAAGGGCAGCTCGCAACTCCGTGAGAATCACCTCCGCCTTTCGTTTTGTCTCGTCCGGTAGCGTGGTGCACTTTGCGATCACCGGCGACGTTGTTCTCTCCAGCTGGCGGATGGTCTCCACTGGAACATCCTCCCCGGCGACCACGGCCCTCATGATGGCTACCACACGTCCGATCAGACTTCGATCGTGTTCTGTGGCCTCTGCCAGGGCTGGACTGTGAGCTCCAGACAGCGTTGACAGCGAGCCCTCAGAGACAGCCTCGTCGGCTGGAGAAGTCTGGAGGATGTTCAGGACCTTCTCGGCCGTCGCTTTCATGGAGTCTGAGCTCAGCCGTTCCGATGCCTGCTGCGGTGACATGCCTCGGATCTCGGACACGGTTCCCTCTGACATAGACTCTTCCGCCGTAGCTGCTTGAAGAACAGTCATCAGCTTTTGAATGTCCAGGCGCGCACTCTCGCTAACGCTCACCTCCTGGGCCACGGCCGGCGACACCGCACTCGAGCCGGACAGTGCCTCCTCGGGCGCGGACGCCTCTTGCAGCACAGCCTGGACTGCGGTCAGCACGCGCCGCGCGACGCCTGTGCCCACGTCTCGAGACACCTCAGTGATGACTGCCTCCGTGGGGGAAAGTGTTTCGGTCAGGTCGGAGAACGAGCTGTCCACCGCGCTCTCCGAGGTCAGCGCCACCTGCAGTACCGTGAGAAGGCGCTGTGCCGTGCTCTGGGCTTCCTGAAGAACCGTGGCCTCACGAGCCTGGTGCGGAGACAGCGTGCGCTCCATTTCGTGCAGAGACTCGGCCGCCGGCGGCGCCTCGTCCAGCACTGGTTTCACCAGCGTGATGATCTTGTCCACGGTCAGCTTTGGTTCCGTCTCCTCGGCTCCACGTGCAACGATTGGTGTCAATGAACGTTCCAGGTCACGAAGCGTCTCATCTGTTATGTTCTCGCCATGGCTAACCGCTTGGAAAATGGTCATTAGCCGTTGAGATGTTTGCAGACCGTCCTCCGGAAACAGGGTTTCTGTACAGTAAGCAGGTGATGGTACTGTTGACAGCTCACCGTACGAACTGTGCAATGATACGTCGCCCATCGTGGCTGTCTGCAGCACCTGCAGCGCCTGGTCCGCGGTCTGCTTAACTTCATCCGACGTCATCAGGGCACGGTCCCGCTCGGCTTCAGCTTCGCCAAACATCTCGCTCACTTCTGGCAGCTTTTGGAAAAGCGCCAGTATCTTTCGTGCCGATGCCTTCTCATTGGCACCTGTCAGGACCTCTGACGCCATCGTGAGCACCTCCGGCGCCACCTGCGGCCTTGCCGAGCCGCGGCCCCCGCCCCGTCCTTCCCCGCCGCTGTTTGTAGCACCTCAACCAGCGTGCTCACGGCATCGCTGGCTTGCTGCGTCAGGGGCTCCGGGGCAGCTGTCGTTGCTAGAGCCTGCTCCACCTCCTCCAGCACGCCCTGCGACAGCTGCTGGTCGGAGAGCGCCGCCGAGAAGAGGCGCATCACCTGGTCGGCTCGCCGGCGGGCCGTCCTCCTCCTTCATGGTCATCCGGAGCTCAGGCGGGCTGAGCGCGCGTCCGATCTCGCCCAGGTACTCGTCCGGAAGGTGCTCGCCCGTTAACCACGGCGTGCATGACGGCCACGACGCCCTGGGCGGCCAGGTGGCGACTCGTACCCTCCGGAGAGGGCTCCTCGTCAAAGGACCACCGCGGTCGGAGCCGTCGCTCTGCTGGGAGACGGCCGGCGACAAGAGCAGAGGTCGCCGGCTGATGGGTCCCGTCGGCGGCTGGAGGAGGTCGGATGCAGGCTGTTCCGCTGGTGCAGGTTCCTCGAACATGTACCGGCTCAGCTGCTCGTCCAGCGGGGGGGGCGGGCATCTCGAGCGCGCCAATCTCCCACCCTGTCATCCATCAGGTCAATCTCCTCCCTCCAAAAAAGACCCGGACTCCACTCTCGCTCTGGCACGGTGTTTTCAAGCTCCTCGTGCATCCCGGCAGCAGATGGCACTCGGGCGTCGTCCGGCTGCGGGCCCAAAGTCGAACACCCTCCTCGATGGGCACGGGTGTGATCTGTCCCGACGTCGGGTCGTCCGAAGCGTACGACGGCTCCATGGCGTCCGCCGTGTGGAACGACGAGTCCGTCCGCCGTCGACATGGTTTTCGGCCGCCGCCGAGCCGCCGCCGGCGCCGCCGTCGACAGCGTCGAGCGCGACGCCGAGCTTCTCGACGTCCAGTGGGCGCGTCTCGCTCCGCACGGCGCGCCGCTTTCGCGACGAGCGCGACGAGCCGTCCGACACCGGCACTGCTGCGGGGCCGGTCGGTGTGCAGCTCCTCCACTCGGCCTCGGTGCGCACGTCTTCTTTCGGCTGGCGCCGGCGGCACCTGATCAGCCGGTAGTAGCGAGACGTCGATGACGGTGGCACCCAGCTGCACGTTACCGGAGGTGGCCTGCGCGGCGAGCACGCGCAGTGAGGGCACCTCAGCAGCGTCGGTCGCGCCGCCACCGCTCGCCGCTGCAACCAGGAAAACCAGCTTCAGTTGATAACGATGGGGCTCAAATTCACGTCGACGTTTTGCCGGAGATCTCCACTTTGAATATGCCCACGGTTTGAGCGTGATGTGTGTTCATTGAATATAAGTGTATTGCACATTATTGTCATCAAGTGGTGACTTTCCTAGACACAATACGCTTATAAGATGCTGGATATTTTATCAAGGCTGTAAAGCAGCAAAGTAAATGACCTTTCCTGGAACTTTCACACTCTCGAAACATTAATTGTCAAAAACCCTTAACTCGAACGCAACGTGAAACCTGCAATATCGTAGTGGACAATAGCGTGTTTCAAGACAGTCGCATGCCATCCGGATGCCTTGTTACCAACTACCCGCCTTTTCGCAGTCTAATTCACTGTGTCCCTGACACGCTCTAAAAGCCACCGACAAAAGACTAAACCGTGTCGTGGGAACAACCAGACAGCAACGGTGGGCGTGAGGGAAGAGTGGGGAGAGAGGGGGCTACCACTCACTTCCTGGACTAACGATTTATAGCATTGATTGCTTGGTGGTGAATTAATATCGCCTTCACAAGATTCTGACCTTTAAAACGATACAAAAAACAACGCATGCAGCTGTTGAAATAAAGCAATAATGACACCCAAGTGGAACACGACAATATGACTAACATCAGTACACATGGTCGCCAACAAACCCACTCGACCTCAGAGACCCCTGACTGAGCTGAAGGTTTTCGCCACCGTAAATGTCGTGTGGCCCGGGTCTCCACTGACCGGGGGCTGACGGCGCCTTCCGACGGTGCTCGCTGTAGGCCTCCAGAATGTCGTGCACCTGCTGCAGGCTGATCTCGCCGGTGCCGACACGGAGCTGACACTTCGCGTCCGTCCAGCGACCACCGACACCACGGAGCCATCCAGCATCGGGAGTCTGTGGTCAGCAGGGTCAGGGATCACGGCCCGGAAGGCCAGTACTGATACCAGCATCGCAGGTCAACCGAACAGAGAAGCGCACTCTTCAGTGGTCTGCACAGGCAGCCACTGCCGCGAGTGAGGCAGGAGTCCGTCTACAGCTAATGACTGTGATTGGGATTAGATGCACGCGGCTCGGTCCTTAACTGATCAGCAACAAGACAGCCGCCAAACGTCGCCAGAACGTTTCCAACCTAACCCGACCACGCAAAACATCGTTGGAGCCTCAGATCTGATTGGACGTTCTGTACAGCAGCACTAACTAGGTAAGTGTCGGTTCCCTGCGGTGTGCCAAACAGCGACATCATCTGGGGACGTCCTCTCCTCGTTGATGGTGGACAGGGATGGGTTGCGGACGACGGCCGAACGGCTCGTGCGGCGGCATCACAGGGGCCGCCGGCGCCCGTGGTCTCATGCGCGTCAGAGCTCATCTCTGTGGGAGACCGGCCGCTGCGTCATCACGCTGCTGGGGCATGCCTTCATCAAGACAATCCCTACTCAAAATTAAACTCAACTGAGGCTTTCAATTAGTTTATTATGTTCTAAGACTGATGAGAGAATTTATGGCAGACTGTGTTATAGATGCAGTGGAGGCAGAGTACTCGTACGCCCCACGCGCCAACAATCCAGCAATGCCAAATCATATACAGAGTAAGAGATCAAACAGATTGCACGTTTTTTTAACACTCTGATACTGACACTTTGTCGCATAAAGCCGCCATAAAGAGTCACGGCAACATCCTTCAGAAGACACATTGTTATCTAATTCCGAAAATACGATGTCAATACAACATGCGACCGTACCTTCGAGGCCGAGCAGAGCCGCTGACGATGTGGCGGAACCCATGCAGTTGAAAGCCTCGCACGTGTAGTTGCCCAGGCAGCAGGTGCCGTCGCCGCCGGACGTGATCCGGTGGATGTCCCCCGCCTTCAGCTCGTGGCCGTCCTTGTACCACTTGAGAGCCGGTTGCGGTGTCCCCACCACCTGAGCGGGGTCAAGGTCGGGTCACAGAGGCGGTCGGGCGGGTGATGCGGAGTTCGGAGCAGCCACGGTTGTGTTCTTGGGAGTAAGCTTTCCAGTTGGACTTCAGGAATCTATGGCACCGGCAACGGTCTGCCCTGAAGACCACGTTTTGATCTTTTAAAAGAATCTAACGCTCACCCTTGTGTGGTAGATCAGCAGTTAAAATGGGGTCATGACCTAGCTCGTTCCCGAAACGAAATAAATGGACAGCGCAGCATTTTTGAGTCTGCTCATGACGTCAGGGAGGCAGTAATACATATAACTTAAGAGGGGCTCAGAGAGATAACCATTTTCTGCAAACCAGGCTGTTCAGCCGTATCCGAAAAGGTGAGGTGGTGTGAGCTCGTAGTTGGTTTGTTTACGTGGTTGGTTTTCGGTGCGCCGCATCGAAGCCATGGTTGGAGTACACTCCCAACCTGTGCAATAGCGCTATATTCCTAGGAGGTGGAGGAATGCCATGCCACCCCACTTTTCGAGAATGCTGAACATTAACCCATAATGGCATATGACAAATTGGTCTGGAGCCCCATTTTCTGAGACATTCCTTCACCTCTGGATAGCATTACTCTCACCTTGCACTGCAAGTTGACAGTTCCGGTCTCGGTGAGCGAGGCCCGCAACGGCTCCAGGAAGTAGGGCGCCTTATAGTGCCGCGGTCGGTTGACCGTCAGACGGCCGGTGGTGACCGCCTGGCCCACCGGGTTGGTAGCCACGCACCTCCACTCGCCCTGGCGCGGCGGGCGCGAGTTACTGAGAGCGAGCGGGGGCGGGCAAGCCGGGGTAGAGGATGGAGAGGGCCGACGCGGGTTCACGACTGAGGTGGAGCGAAGGGGACGAAGAGGGAGAGACGAGTTGGCAATATTCCGAGACATGGCCGTGGTGGGGAGAGGTGGAGAGGAAACGCCGCTGAGGCAGAGGGTGGCTACACCAGACCGGGAAAATTACCTCACGTGCTACCCTTCCTGTTCGACGGCATGGCTGCGTTACCAGATTTAGGAATCAGTACGTCATCGTCATTAGCCGGGGAACACTTTGGTCTTGAAGTAAATGTGAATTAGGCGCGACAGACACGGTCCAACCGCAGCGAAACACCGATGCATAGCCACAAGTAGTCTCCCGTCCAGCCCTACTACGCGTGAGGCACTCATGCGATGAGCGTGAGTGTACCATGGTAAGACTCTAGTAAGACTCTAGTTATGACATCTAGTGCATGAATAATGATATTGCTGCGTTTATCTGAGCCATCGAAGGAGGCCCACGCGCCCACCTGGTCCTCCAGCTGTACGGTTTTCAGATCCAGGTGATACTTCCCCGGTGCGCCCCGGCTCAGAGTGACCATTTCGCTGGTCTGAACGGGCTCCTCCTCCCGGAACCACGCCACGTCGGGCTCCGGGTACGACGCCACTGTTGGAAAATGCAGACGGCGGACGTCATCTAAGGAAGGATTTTGTCATCGCTCGGAAGGTAATGCCGGTCTTTGGCCAGCTCACTAAGGGAAGACTTCTGTCATGCCAAGAAAATCTTTTAGGTTAAAACTTATAACTCAGACTTAGTCTTAAATACGGCCCCTCATGCATCTGCATACAGCAGTGGCGTTGCTTAATTGACATCGCCTTGCGCCCACTGTGGTTGGACATCATAATCGTGAATTATTTCAAATCATTTTCACTACTAACGGTAGAACCGGGTTGAGTTTCAATCCTTATAACGGTATGTACATTCACAACAGCAGATTTCATCACCTACGTACATAATTCCGATTATCTCTGTACCCGAATCCTACAATGTATTACACCCACACTGGGTCCTCGGGGTACACCGAAACGACTAACTGGACAGACCTGTGGTAACCATCGCATCTGTAGCCACTCTCGAGGGTGCAGGGGCACTGACCGCTACATCTGTACGCACCCTCGACAGTGAGGCGGCGCTGACCGTCACCTCTGTGCCCACCCTCGACAGTGAGGCGGCGCTGACCGCCACCTCTGTGCCCACCCTCGACAGTGAGGCGGTGCTGACCGCCACATCTGTACGCACCCTCGACAATGAGGCGATGCTGACCGCCACATCTGTACGCACCCTCGACAGTGAGGCGGCGCTGACCGCCACATCCGTACCCACCCTCGATAGTGAAGCGGTGCCTGTCGGCGATGCTGACCACCGTCTCGGGCAGCAAGCCCTGGGTGAAGCGGGGCGGCAGCTGTCCCTGGCACACCTTGCACCGCTCCTCCTCCGTCAGCTGGTTCTCGATGTCGGCCAGTGTCAGCTCGGCCGTTGACTCGGCCGTGCCCATGCAGTTCCTCGCCAGACACGCGTACACGCCTGCGCAGAAGAAGTCGTGTTGTATGCAGTGGAATGCAAAGCATCTTCAAAAGCATCATCAAAACACTTTCTTTTTGCCATGGTTACGATCGCTGGGAAGACACGCAGTTTCATTAGAGACGGCTCATTACAAAACCAGCTTGCTTGTAGATAGCGAAAGCCGAGAAAACACCGAGCCGGCGAGTTGTGTTGCGCAGCGACTGTTGAGTTGAGGCTAACATAACGGGTTATGGCTTGCATCGGAATTGAAAAATTGAGTAACGAGACGTCCTGAACGTATGCAAGTAACAAAAGTATCCACAACCAGTGTGGAGAAAGGTCTAGTGTCGATAACAAAATACATTTATGTACAAGATGAGTGAAAACCAGAATGTGTTTTCGCTGCCTTTGACCGGTAGACCGGTTGACTTGTTGGCCGCTTGACTGGTCGACTGGTTGACTGGTTGACTGGCTGACTGGTTGGCTGGTTGACTGGTTGGACGCTTGAAAGGCTGACAGGTTGACTGGTTGGTCTTACCTAATGAGTTGGTGCCACTGAGCTGATACACGTCACCAGGCTTCAGCTCCTGTCCATCCTTGAACCAGCGCAGCAGCGGCGTTGGGTAGCCCACCACCTTGCACTCGAACGACACCAGTCCCTCGTCGGTCAGCATGGCTCGCAGCGTCTCCATGAAGCGAGGCTTGCGGTAGTTGCGTGGCACTGAAGAAGGTCAAACAGGCCGGACTTAGTGTGCATCTCCCGGTGCCGGTGGACACGGGATGCGTGAGACATCGACGTGCCGGATCAAATTTATGAATGATGCGTGAAGGTGACATTGACATCACGCCTTGGTTGAATGTGTAGATACATGCCATACTGTGAGAACTCTCCCCGATCACTTAACCTCACCGGCCTGAAACTGTGACCGCCACGATTTTTGATAACGGACTTTTTGGGGGAAATCCTGCGCGGTGGCATTCGTGTCAGCTCGATGCCACGCTGCATGGGTCGGCTGGCGCGGCGGCGTCCTGCTCACCGGCCAGCACGATGTTACACCAGGTCTCGGTGACGCCGCCGGGGGCGGTGACCTCCGCGCGCCACTCGCCGTCGTCGCAGAGCTCGACCCCGCTGACCTGGAGTCGCCAGCTGCCGTCCGGGTCGCTGTCCACCGAGTACTTGTCGCTCGGCTCCACCAGTCGGCCCTTGTTGTACCACTGGACCGAGGTCACAGCCTGCGGGTCCGATGCTGCCGGCGGCGTGTGGTGTCGAGGTCAACACAGGCTGTGCTCTCGTGGTGGCAGAGTTCCAGGATTCTTGGCTAGGTTAGTAACTTAGAAAGGGGATGAGAATGGGAGAGCGAGAGAGAGCGAAAGAGAGAGAGAGAGAGAGAGAGAGAGAGAGAGAGAGAGAGAGAGAGAGAGAGAGGAGAGAGAGAGAGAGAGAGAGAGAGAGAGAGGAGAGAGAGAGAGAGAGAGAGAGAGAGAGAGAGAGAGAGAGAGAGAGAGAGAGAGAGAGAGAGAGAGAGAGAGAGAGAGAGAGAGAGAGAGAGAGAGATAAAGGAAGGGTTAAGGGGAGATGGAGTGAGATGGGAGCATGTCTCATTGATTGTCTGCGTTCGACCTTCATTCATATTTCACTCGCCCAAGTTGCATTTTTTCAAACGCTAACCGGTAGGGAGGGCCGGGTCGATGCAGCTTCCTTTGACGCTTTCAGGCTGAGAATGGCAGAGCATCGCGTGAAAACGTCATTGGATTGGTGTCATAGAGTTCTCGCAATTGTCCATAATTTGTATGTTGCTGAGTTAAAAACTGACCCCACTTTACCAGCTAAAATGTCATTTTTTTCCTAAAAATCAAACTATTTTCAAGTGCATGTGTCCATATTTACCAGGTCGTTCCATGTACGAAAAAAAACTTGAAAGACACGTTTCTTGCTTGATTATGACCATCTTGATGTACACTGTGGTGTGTTGTGGGCTTATATTTATGATTTAGGACTCCATTGATGTAACAGTGTTGGCCTCCCAAACGCGATCGGCGGATTCGTCGGTTGCCGCCCGCCGCCCGCGCCGGTCGTTGATCGCCGTGCAGTGTTCTTAAAACCTGTCACTTCTCGGAAGCCAGAAATGCTAGGGACACCTGGGTGTCAAAACACGCTAATAAACATTTGACCGCGATTGCGCAACAGGCTGGCGAGATATTTTCAGAACACATTCGGGATAGTCACGTCGCCTTCCCTATCAGGGTAAACGATGTCTACCAGTATGCATCTCGTCCTGTTCTTCCAGGAGGTGACATATAGAAACACCTGGACGCATCACACTTTATAATTCACGAAAGCCAATACTACTATCATCCGATCAAAGAGCACGAATATCTCGTCATAGCGTTCAGTTGGCTGCCAATTTCGACATTTTAGCGCCCCTAGCAACAAAAAGCCAATACGCTCTTTCTCCAACCACCTAGCTGTTTTGGCACGGTTCGAGCCATTTAAAAATACTGCGCGGCCGGGGAAGAAGCCCGCGCGGGTTCCATTGTGACGTCACCAGCGCTCTGCTGACGTCACTCTCCCGTCGGCCGGCGTGACCTGTTTATTCGGCAGCGGTTTGTGCAATGCGGCTAATGCAGCGCGGACAGCGCCAGCGAGTCGGTGGGACGTTTGGCAGCTGTTGGTGCCCAGCGACCGCACAGCCCGGAGTGACCGGCTAGTGCGCGTGTGTGTATGTCTGTCTGTGAGTCGGCGAGCGGCCGGCGGGCACTTATTTCGGGCCGACAGACAGTCACGTGCGCGTTACGAGGGGGCGGCCGGCGGCTGGAAATAACACGGAGCAGGCCCGGTCTCCAGCTGCGGTCAAGGCCGCCGATGGCGGAAACTCGTCTGGGAATCTCATGACCGCGGCAGGATATCAAACTTGGATTACCAATTGACAGAGATTGACGCCCGCAGAAACAGAACGCTGGCCTCGACTGCGATGGGAAATGTCGGGACGAGTTGGGAGGTGTGATTTGATTGACAGCGCCGATGTTTCAGATGGAAGATAATGATGTGAGGCACGGTTTGGATCCTAGCAACAGCCATGATAAACAAGGCTTGCTCATGTTCGTCATGCCATGAGTTACGCTGAACAGGGAAGAAGACTGCGTTCAGGTGATTGAGGTACATTCCTTCTTGTTTACGCCGTCAGAATCGAATCAACTTTGTTGTTGCATTATTGTACGCCGAATCGACTCAACAAACCATTTCGCAGTGTCCACACTGACGTTTTCCTGGAGGTCAGCAGCTAAACAGGGCCAACTAGCGTCATAGCTGCACCTGGCCAAGCCGCTCTCCGGTGTCCACCGCACCTGCACGGCGATCAGCCCTCACTCCAGCCGGCCCCCAGCGCGAGGCAGCCTGAGCTTGCATGGCAAGTCCGACCCTGCCGCAAGCCCTCAGCTGCAAGCCGACGTGACATCAAAAATTACATAACACAATATAATATTTCAAAGCTACTGTACCCATTCTGACCTAGGGCTGCACCCCCTCCCCCCCCCCCCCCCCCCCCTCTCTCTCTTCCCCTTCTCCTTCCCCTTCTCCCCCCCGTACCTTGCCAGTTGTGAATTCAACTCGAGAGGCACTACCGAGAAAAGGACCCGAAAAGGTCATGCACTGACCACGCTTTACTTGCCCAAGCCCGACCTTTGGCAGTGAGCACTTGACCCACTTATACCTTTGGCAATGCGCCACGGATCCTGTCTGATCTGTCACAGCGAGCGCTTGACCCGGACTGACCCCTGACTGTAGGCCATTGACCCCGACTGACGAAATGGTCAGTCAGTGAACCCTACACCCCAAATGGGCAGCGAGCCTTGTGCTCTCCACGATGTTCAACGGTGAGGTCTTAACCCGTAATGTCATGTGTTTACTACGAACCGTTCCGCTGAATGGCTTGACGTTTTATTCGTGTCAGTAGGTTACAAGTTACCCGACAAAAATGAAGATGCAGCAATGATAATGACACGTCAAGAGCTTGAGAAAGGCCAGAGAGAAAAGCCAAAGTCAAACAAATCCTCTTTTCCACGTTGGTCAACTTTAGATGTAAGCGCAGCACGACTCCAGCAGGTCATAACAGCCGGCGGCAGTGGTTCCAGAACGAGGCTGCACGATACGAAAACACCCTACGCGACATGGACAGCCAGAAAGGGGACAGCTCAAAAGCGCTGGCCCTCGCCGACCTCGTGTTGCGCTCACTCACAGCGGTGCGAGGGATGAACAACGACCAGGCCACTATCGGGGCACGGGGGTCATTCAGGGCCCTGAAGACGCCAAGGTGGTGGCGGCGCGTAACAATATCACTGATTCCGCGCCAGCCCAGCGACCTTACGACTAGCGAAATACAATATTGGCCCCACGCCCCGAGAGAATCCTGGTCGCGAAATTTGTGATTTTTTGCACCCGGCCGAGATAGCAGGCGGTGGTCCCGCCCCAGACTGAGAGACAGTACAAGATGTGGGGGAAGATGGGCCTTAATGAAGAGTTTGCAGGCTTCAGGTGTGAAACGATGACGAATTTTGTTTGGACAAAACAGGATGGAGTTGCATTATTTAGCTGAGTTGGATATGCGCTCCTCCCAGGAGACGGTACGATCGATGGTTGCTCCCAGCATCTTCACGGACGGCAATGGGGTTTATATTAAGCTGGAGATCTTAAGAAAGAAGGATGAAGTTTGTTATGGCCTAGGGCTCGTACCAAATAGAAGAAGAGTGGCCTTGGTAGGGTGAGTAACAAAAGGACAGTGATATGACAGAATGGCAGATGACAGAATGACAGTAATGACAATAATGAAAGAATCGCATGTATGACAGTATGACGTATGACATGTGGCGCATGACATGACATATGCCAGAATGACAGAATGACAGTAGCAGTGGTAGAGGTGGTAGCAGAACGATTTTTGATCGTGAGCGCTTGACCCTATATAAGATCTGAAAGTCATTTCTTGACCTTGACTGACCTTTGACAGAAAGCGCGAGGCGTTCGCCAACCTTGACCTTCCGGTCGTAGAGAGTGTGCACGAGACGAGGTGCCGCTTCGCTCGAGAAGCGCACTGTCTCCCCCGGCGTCTCCGTCTCCAGTCTGTGAAGGGAAGGTCACGTAATCGAACAGCTAATGTTGTCGGCTTCCAAACAATCTGGATCAGACCACGCTGCAGGTTCACGATAAATGATATACGTACGTGGATATGATGAGAGAATGCATCATTGTTATATTGCATTGGGATTTCAGTGCGGCACACGCGCGTCCTTGGTGTGTTCATGTCTATTGGAGAAGCGTCAGTGTTATGTAAGGAAGTCGTTAAGATCTACGTCGATTTCAAAACCAATATCACTGAGAAGCTGAAATGAATAATCGGAGCCAGTCTAGCAGCCTGGATAAATCCACAAAATGCAGAAGATCCAAACAACAAATATAGTTGCGTGCCAGTGAGGAACGAAATAGATCAATCTCGAAATAAGGAATGAATTACTCTTATCAGTCGATGAAATGACACAAAAACGTCTCTGTCCAGTGCTAAAACGAGCGTCAGCAGCTTATTACGGCGGTCAACAGCTTATTACGGCCATCAGCAGCTCATTACGAAGCTCCACGTTAGCAACCGGTCAGAGATCAGATGGGACATGGTCAGACCCTCCTCTGTCGAGTGTTCAAGCGAGCGTCAGCAGCTTATCACGGCCGTCAGTAGCTTACAACGAGGCTCCACATTAGGTGATCCACTATTTTTGCTCAGATGAGCCACTGTAATTGGCCACCACTAGGGCTGCCGCGGTACCTGGCGGACTCCGGGATCTGACCCAGGGCGGCGGAGCGGCCGGCCACCAGCTGACCATCGGCTGCACCGGCCGACAAGAGCCGGTCTTCAGCCGAGCCTGCCGAGCATAGGCCTCGGTCACACGAGGTCAGGCGGGCGACTGCGGTATCCCGCCTAGCGCCTGTGTGCAGGGGAGTGCTGGTCGGGTGGAGCTGCGGGGCCGCCATAGTCGTACTACAGGCTTCTTAACATGTAACATTACGCCAAAGCGCAGAAATTTACAAAATAAGTTGAAGAATGGGTGCTCAGCGAACAAAATGGGTTGTACAACAAAGAGGGCATTCCCCGCATTTGGCACAGTTTTTTTTCTCAAACTTGAGGACTGGAACGCCCAACTGAAAAAATTGGACATTTTGCCCCTCGTTGCGCGGTTACGTCCACGGCATAGCACAGAACAAACACATCTGAAGCGTTATCAATCCCCTCCCGTTTCCCCCGTGCTCCCACTAGGCGTCAGTCGGTGCCGACGGCCCTGGGGGTGGCAATTGCGTTGGTTGGGTCATAACTACCAAATGTAATACACCTTTTTAAAACTGTGTCATTTCTTAATCCAGCAGTTTATTGTCGGTGCCGCCGTCATTTTAAAATGCTAGGTTTGAAGCTTTTCTCCACAATCGTATCGTTGTCGTCCCGAGCATATGTCATGGGTACTGTGCCTGAAACCATTGTTATTTCCATAGTCACGGTATTTTGTACATCCAAACGAACTAATCCAGAAATATTCAGCTCCGCTGACAGCATCAACGAGCATGTTTACGAGATCAAAGAAACGCTGTGAAACATTTTTGCCAATCTTGAGCTTAATTAACATACGCAGTGTTGTCAGTACCTACCCTGCATTCAAACGAATCGAGCCATGTGTCTTCATCGGGCAAAATATAGCATACAATATATTTATCACTACTGTATTGTTTAATACAAGGTGAAGGTCATATGTTTCAATGAAGTGTAATGTAGACCTTTCTTTTAAACCGCGCACGGGTGGCCGGTTAAAAGCAACGGGCTCGGGTGGGCTCAGTCTGACTTCACTTGGGATCGAAACAACCAAGAGATCTAGAGGCACCAAACTTACTGAGTAGGCTGGCCTCTATGTGATCTTACTTGTGCCCATTTGTTTGGATCCCTTGGTCATCATCTTAAGGTCAAACAAGGTCAAACTCAACAGATCAGCGTCCGAAGTGCCTCCAAGCCTCCTCATGCAGCCTCCTTTGCCTTAGATACCTGTTCCAAGCAAAGGATCACCAGTGCTTGCTTCAGGTCAGTGACCTTGTTGATCTTTGGAAGACCACTGTGACCAAAACAATTCGAGACTTTTGTGATTTTGGAAATGAGATCAGCATGAAAGGCTTACGTTAGTCGGTATGATTCTGAAAGCAAAAGGTTTATTAGAATCGTTTTAAGTCACTGACCTCCTCCGACGTTGAGAAAGTCCAAGAAAGAAATCTGTTGACATCCCCATGATCAAGAAGCTCGGAATGGCGCATCGAAAACAACCCCGTAAAGCGCTTCCAACAAAAAAGCGGTTTGATTCGACCTCGGATGGACCTTCACGTCTGATTCAGGATAAATGAAATCAGTCTTTATCTAATATTTAAGTAGCTAGATGTCTATGAAAAATACCTCAGATATGTATGACTTCGTTTGACACTACGATGTCGCATCATATTGAACGATTTCCCACGCAAGCCTAGCAAGATGACAATGTCATCAAAGACAGCAGCCAGAACAGAACAGCGCCGCCATTCTGCAGTGAACTGGGGGCGGCGCATTTCGTCACTGTGGCGCTGGCATCGCTTCGCGGATGCTGCACTGTTGAGCACTAATGTCATGCGGTACAGTTTACCCTCGTGTCAAAGGAGCGACGCGACCGTCGGCACCGGCGTGACGCGCGGACGTATCACGCCACGCGGGACGAACCCGGTCACGTCGGCGGCTTTTAGACACCAGGCCGCCTATTTCAGGGTTTAGGAATCTCAAGGGTGTGGCAGCTGTCAAATTACGATGCCCGTTTCTTAAATTTGGGGCACGTTTTCGTCGCATAGCGAGCAGTAGGCACGCTTGGCCCAAAAGCATGTTGACGTAAGAGATTGGTGATATTAAATCGCAGCACAATAGCATAAGTGTAGCATAACATCAGCTAAAATTATACACTAGTGAAAGCAGCTGTCAAACTAATAAATCTTCCCAGTATAGCAGAGATATTGGCCGAGGTCGTGTTCGGGGGATGCCATGAACTTTCAATCAACGTAGAAGCGCGCGGTATTGTTTCTTTAACCAGCCCAATATGGCTCCCAACATCTCCCACACGGCTGTAGAATGTCGGCAACACATTATCTGTGCAGATAAGCTCTCGAAAGAGCTTACGGCATTGCAAAACTGTCACAGCTGCTTAAGTGCCCAATGAACGCTCATGTGGTACGCCACACCTGTAAACACCCACACCGCATTTTCCAGCACACTTACAAACTTTGTGGAGGGAAACTTTGGACCCCAAACAACGATAGAAACAACAGCTGACATAACGACCACCACTGAACTATCGGATCTAAGCGAACACGCCGCTGACATGCGGTGCCGTCACCCACTGACCTGACCCACTGTGTGGGGCGGCGGCGGCGGTGGCGCGGGCCTGGCGCTGGGCCAGGGGCACGGGCCGCCACTGGGCCCCCTCCCCCGGCGCCGGGTCACCCTCCTGGGCCGTCCGGGGCCGCGGCGCCGGCGACACCGGCGACACGCCATGGGCCCAGCGGCTCTGCGGACGCAGCGGTGGCAGAGGTCATGTGGAGCGGCTCTGCGGGTGCAGCGGTGGCAGAGGTCATGTGGGGCGGGTCTGCGGGTGCAGCGGTGGCAGAGGTCATGTGGAGCGGGTCTGCGGGTGCAGCGGTGGCAGCGGTCATGTGGGCAGCTCTGCGGGTGCGGCGGTGGCAGAGGTCATGTGGAGCGGCTCTGCGGGTGCAGCGGTGGCAGAGGTCATGTGGGGCGGGTCTGCGGGTGCAGCGGTGGCAGAGGTCATGTGGAGCGGGTCTGCGGGTGCAGCGGTGGCAGAGGTCATGTGGGGCGGGTCTGCGGGTGCGGCGGTGGCAGAGGTCATGTGGAGCGGGTCTGCGGGTGCGGCGATGGCAGAGGTCATCTGCGGGCGTCGAGCGCCGCATGATGACGGGACACGTGTCAGTGAAGAGCTTGTAGGGGTGATATGTCAATGGAGCAGTGGCTCCATTGCGCTCACACCAAATGTGGATAACGCGGAGATGGACAAGTTAAGAAGTCCTCCCGTAAAGTATGAACGTCATGTCACGTGGCACCCGCTAGTCCTCAGAATGTATAACGTACTGAAATAAAAGAAGCTTGGCATCCTAATTACCAAATCAGTTACGTCATAACCGTCATCGAAAACGTGTAGCTAAATACATTTGTCCAAGTCAAATTCTCAGTGAACATAAAAATGTCATGCAGGAAGTAAATTATTGTTTTCAAATATTTCTTAAAGCAGATTTACACCGAATAGTTTGCGTTGGCGGCTTTGTGTCCAAAGCACCTGCCACGCATAACTTGATGTGCAAACCCTGAAGCTACACGCAGGTCGTGCTGTCCAGCTTAACGAATGATTTTGCCCCTAACCTTTTGTCAGGCAGGAATGCGGAGTGTTTTAGGTGCCGCACAATGCTGCAGCACGGCCTCCCCGGCCCTGGGTTGACCCTTGGGGATGCCAGTGCTCGCTGGCATCTGGGATGACCTAACGCCTTCAACCATTATACAACTGACTATGACCGGCGGTCTCTTTGGCATCATGCGCGACGGCTTATGATCATCCTGGCCTTTGGAATGTGTTGGGTTCATGTTCTTTTCAACTCAAGTTGTTTGAATCACGCAGTGGGAGGTTACACCAAACCGTGAATCGTGTCGGATACTCTCTCCACATCGTGAGTGTGATGACATGGAAAGCCAAACTATAAGAATTTTAGAGCATTGCCCTCAACACCCAGCATTGTGGATGGCACGCTTCACTGAGACAGAAAGCTAATTCAGTCTTGACGCCAGATAGCGCGCTTCACTGGGATAGTCGGGTCATTCAGTGCTGACGCCGGATAGCGCGCCTCACTGGGGTAGTCGGGTCATTCAGCGCTGACGCCAGATAGCGCGCCTCAATGGGACAGTAGGGTCATTCAGCACCAACGCCAGATATCGCGCTTCACTGGAACAGTCGGGTCAGTCGGCGCTGACGCGCATATCCCGCTAGCTCCAGCAGGCTGTGACGGCATGCCACAGCGGCAGCCATCTGCCGCCAGCCGATCCAACAACAGCCGCCTAATGATAGACACCGTCCCTCCGGCGATAAACACAGCCGCCGGCCCCAAGGAGCTCGTGTAGCAGCGTTTGTCTACACCCGTCAAAGGGTCGCGCACCGGCGGCGCCCGCCGCAGCGCACCCAGAGGCCGCTTACCTCAGGAGGCTCCGTTTTGGACGCGTTCAGATCGCCGTCACAAGACGACAGCAGAGTCCAGCCGAAAGAGAAATACACAAGCCGCCAGATGGCGTCCAACACCCACAGATGCGCTCTCTCGCGCTGCACTAGGATCACAGCGCTTGTGATGGCACCGGAAACGCTTCAACGGTGCTGGAGCGTCCCGCAGCGGTGCGAGCGCCTACGCGTCCCACAGCATCGCGAAATCCCAGCGCTGCACAGCACCGCGAGTACTTGGCAATGCGCAACTCTTGAATCACTGCCACTTATCGCCAGCTGGCGTTTTCACGCGCAGCGCAACAGCGCCTCTGTCTGCGACACCGTGGCGACACCTGGAAGCCAACTGCATGCCGCCGCCTCGGGCGAAATGTTCCGGGGGTCGGCGCTTGGCAGCGGCCGCTGGAGGCGGCACCAAGGCCGCCCCCCTCCCCCCGTGGTGTCTCTGGCAGCAGTCTGAATGGGGCGCTGTGCCGGCAGCCTGGGTCAGCGCCGACTCCCGGAGCGGACTCAAACAAACAGCCGGAGGCGCTGACGGGGGGGGGGGGGCAGGGGTGGCCGTCATCGGCGTGTTCCGCCACCGCCCAGCGGGTGGACGACTGCAGGGGCGCCGCCAGCGGCCCGCGGCTCGCTGAAGACAGGTGGACTGTAATCGGTGTTCTTCTGCCGACCCCAGCGGGATGGCGGCCGCAGGAGAGCCGCCAGTGGCCCGTGGCGGGACGAAGGGAGGGAGATTGTAATCAGTGTGTTCTGCCGACCCCGGTGGGATGGCGGCCGCAGGGGTGCTGCCCCGTAAACGCATCGCCGGCAGCTCCCGTTAAGAGCAGACCGGAGTTCACCATATCATATCCTCTCTACAAAGAAGCAGAATCTCAAATACATCCGGTGATTATTGACAGCTTCCTAAAGTATGAGTCCGTCGGAGCTCATGTAGCTTAGCATAGACTAATTCGAGTCGTATTTCACTTACGATGGATTGCGTATTCTATATGCACGATTTTCCACTTTCTACTTTTTCATTTTCTCTCCCCTTGTCATTGCATTTATAGAGAAGTTAACGAATCACCCCTCGCAGCGAAACGCGCACAGCTCCAATTTAAACCAAGAGTGTTCGCTAACGTGCCAACAAAGTCGCGCTGCACCATGATCCATCAAAAAGATCTAGAGCAGTGACGTAATCGACTTGCTAGTCGTTTGTCAGGCGGGCGTGAGGGATGGCAGTGCCCTTGTCAGCTAAATAATGCGTCGAACGCCCGGAAACAAGCTGGCTGCCTAAATGGTTGGCGGAGTACGCAGCTGCACGATGGAGGGTGACGGAGAGGGATGGGCACATAAGAGAAAATAAGTGTGGGGGTACCACTGCACGGTCGGGAACCAAAACGCTCGACAACAAACAAACAAAAAAACAGTAGAATTTGCATGCGATCAAGTGCGCTAAAATAGCGACACCTTATGTCTTAATCGTGATGTGTTGACGTCACTAGTGAGCAGTTCATGCGGCTGGTCTCATCCTCGACCAGCAACTCACCGGATCGTCGGGCGCGTCCGCTTGAGCCGGCGTCGGCGGTGCGGCGGCCGCCTCGCCTCCTCCCTCGGCCGGTCTGCCCTCGACAGCCTTCTCGGCACGCGGCGCGCGACCGCGGCGCACAAACGGCGTGTAGTCGTCGCTCTCGGGCACCAGGCTGCCGACGGCGCTGGCGGCGGCTGGCGGCCCCGCCTGACCCCTCTTGGGCGGCGGCGGCGGCGGCCCGGCCGAGCCCAGCGCGCCTGGTTTCGGCGGTCGCGGCGGCGGCTCCACCGCCAGCTGGAGGTGCGCGGCGGCGCGGCCGGCCGAGTTGCGTGCAAGTGACCGTGTAGCGGCCGCCGTCGGCGGCGCTACTGTCGGCAATGGAGAGCTGCGTGCCCTCAGCCACGCGCCGGATGTGGTAGTGGTCATCCTCGACCAGCGGCTGGCCGTCGTGGTGCCTGTAGAAAGAGCGGCAGCCGTTAGGCCCGGACATTAGGGGGAGAGTGGGGGGGGGGGAGGGGGGCTGGTGAGCCAAACTTACTGCGAGTAGTGGGCGCATGGCGGAGCATGACTCACAAGAGGTTTATGAGAGGCACTGTAGATTGCGGACACTGAGATTTGCCGAGATTAATGTCATCAGGAAGCAACCCCAGAACCTACGTGACACTTTTTGATATTCGATAGTCAGTGCACCATGGTGTTTCATGACTCTCCGGGACGGGTAGAGTGATTATGACAATATAGCCAACGATCCCTCACTATCCACAGCATTACAGTTCAGTCATGGAATGTTTGTGAAGTGAACTTCAATACTGGACATAATTGTTTCTGAAATTATTCACTGCATCGTCAAACATGGCTAAACTGAAAGGTTAATACAACTGTCATGCGTCGCAGGCGGGTGATAGGCAGTGCAATAATAATGATAAGACAGATAGAAGGTAGCAGATGGTCTTGGTCGATATCGTGTGCGACTTTACCCTTTATTTAGCTAGAACATGGCTGTACTTAAAACACGATTACATCCGACTGAAAAGGAGTGGAAAATGGAAGAATATTTGTGAAAGGAACGTAATATATTTCCAAAATCAGTGAGCTTTTATGGCAAACTGGCGCCTCGTAGCTGCTGAATAGTTCTCTAAATTTGCTTAAGTACACGTCATAAATAAAAAACAAATGCGGGCAGTGCAGACGCCAGACACACTAAAATACACAGTTCAGATACATTACAGAGCATAAGTGATGTGCCACGGTCCCAACCCAGACTAAAAAAAATAATGCGGATTTTTACATCCTGCTTCGATTTCCGCCCCATTGCGCCACGTTCGGAAGTTTGCCGCCATCCCAAGACACAACGCGGGATCCGCAATTAAGTCACAATGGCTCACGAGTAGTTGTCACAAATGAACGGCACGGAACCTCTCGGTTCGAGACTTACTACAAGTCGATCTTACACAATGTCAAAACTGAGCTCTGGTTTGTTCTTTTGTATTATGGCTGACCATGAATAAAGTGCAGCCAAACCAGCTGCTATACTGTGCAAAGACAATCCAAACCAAAAAAGGAGACTGTGAGACCCGGGCGATGTGGTATCTCCCCCCGCCCCCCCCCCCCCCCCCCGAGAGGGTCGGCTGGTGGGAAATTGAGCGTGACTGCAGCAGGGTTGTGAGAGCCACCACGGCTGCCGAGAGTAATTACATTTATCAGCAATCTAATCGCTCCAATTCAAGCAGCTGCAAGCTTTTACTCGGGCCCCTTACCAGGTGGGCGGTTCAGCGCTGAGTCAGCTGATCAGCCAGCTCAGCACGTCTGGTATCAGAGATTACCGGGAGACGCCGCCGCGCATCTGAACTTCGCAGGAAAAGCCGAAAAAGCAGCGGAGAGCAGGTAGCCACCCGGCACGGCACCGAACCGCCGAACTCGCGTCCGCTGGTGACGTCATCCCAAAAGTCGTGTCCGCTGGTGACGCCGTCCCAGTACTCGTGTCCGCTGGTGACGTCATCACAGGACTCGTGCCCGCTGGTGACGTCATCACAGAACCCGTGTCCGCCGGTGACGTCATCAGTATTCACGCGCCGAGAGCGGCCGCGAGCGGGCCGCGCGTCGCGACACCTCTCTGGCGGCTGTCGCAGCTGATACACACGCTCGGCTGATGCATGCCTGCCGCTGCACCGGTATGCCGCGGCCGGCGCGGCCAAATTCCCCGCCGGCCGCGCCAAGTCCGCCGGGGATGAGTCAGGATCGCCCCAGAACCGCGCCTTGGGCGCGCGCGGTCGACTTTGCGACATCTCGCGGCGGTCGGCGGAGCTGCCGGCGGCGGCGGCACGGCCGCGGGGAGGGGCGTCATTTGTCCCGCTCAAGTGGGCGGCTCGGCGGCCGACACGGGCGACAACAAAGGTGGTGTGGGTTTTGTCTGGGAGCGATGTAAACTGTTAGAATAACAAATTTGACGCGGCAACTGAAAACGGATGGTGGTATGCTATTCCGTTGCCGACCGGTCCGGTGGAATGTGGGTCGGTTGGCTCGCCGTGCCCAATTAGCTGTAGCTCGTGCTTTCTCCCGCATGCCCGGCCCGTGCTGGGTGTGAACAGACGAAACAAAAAATACACACTGCCTCTCTCAGATCTCAATCCAGTAACGTGAATTTTGTGGCGCGAGAAGCGGCCGGAAGTAATTCGTCAATGTGTTAGCAAATTCAGTTGACAGTTACGGTAAATCAATCACCTTGCCGAATCCGTATCAAAGCTCATGGCACTTCGCGACCTTCTCAGACGGCAAGGATTGTTTTGAGCTGTGGGATGCGCCGTGCGCATGATATCATGCCGTTGTGTTGCCTGACATAGGGAGCTGGGTGAGAGACAGATGGGCGTGTAAGAGCGCCAGATGGTGAGATAATGACTGTGGGCCTCTTTGCATCGCTTTCGTGGTAATCAGCAATATGATCGTTCGGGTCGGCACACGCCTGTAATTGGCATTTATTTTGCCCACCTGCACTCTTGTCAATAACCTGAACTCGGATGGAGCATATGCAGCCTAAGCCCAACAAATTTAGATACTAAAAATTGTGCAGTCTTGAGAAAAGCACAATGTTGTATGCCTACGCAAAATTCACGGGAAGAATTAGTGATTATTTCAGAATGGAGCAGGAAGGAAGTACAGACAACTTCGGCGTCATGGTAACAACCAAACATCTGACCTGATGAACAAATCAGGAAGGGGAAGGGCATGGTATGTACAGGCTCTTTCCAGTGGACGTGTCATTTAGGCATTCCTGAAAACCAGAATCGCTTGTTCGTAAAGCATCATCACGTCTCATTGACATTCCTGTCGTATGTCGGTTTCGTTTTGTTGGGTTAGAACGTTTTTGCCAGCAATGACCACTTCAAGCCTTCGTGAATAAGGCCGTCGTGTGCGACCGCCGCTACCGAAGCCTTGTTCCTGCTCAGGAACTCGCCTTCGGGGCTTCTGCGGACGCCCGGGCGGGATCCCCGCCAAGGTGGCCGGCAAGCCAACACCTTGCTGACGCTCGCGGCATGCTCTCGGTCAGGCCGGGCGTCACATGTAGATTTAGGACGAAGCGGTAAATGAAGAGAAGGACCAGAAGTATGATCTAGTTGGTAAGGAATCTCTGTGTGGCCGCGTCGCGTGACGTTCGGTCGGCGACATGAAGGAACAAACACCCCCACATCTAGCCGCCCATGCCATGCCCCTCCCCCCCCCCCACCCCTGCAGCAGCCGTTTGTGTTGGCCCGCACCTCTGTTGATGCCAGTGACGAAACTCCCCCCCCCCCCCCCTCAATCCGGCTGGGGATCGCGCCGGCGAAATCACATGGATGACGCCAACATAGTTGCACCGGTCTCCGCCAGATGGCTCCGCCGGGCCGGATAGGTTTTCGCACGTGCCGATTGAGCTCCGTTTGATCCGCAGGCCGGTCTGATTCCGAGAACTCTCACGCCTCCTTCGACCGCGGCGAGTGATTCGAACCTGCTTTGACCTCGGCACAGACCGACTGGCGACGCCATGCTGTCTGCGAGCAGTCAGCGGGAGATTCGATGACTCGAGAAGGTGCTGTGAGTCATGAGTCGGTCCCCAAGAGGCCGAGAGGCAGCAGACTCACTGTCCAGGAAGACGAGAACCACCGGAGGTAAGACGGCTAACTCTCTGACCTCACCGATCAAAAGCACACAGCATGAGATGTAGACAGCGTGGAAGCACGGGTGCCCCGCCCCGAGGAAGCGCCCCGCCCTCCAGCCGCCGGACGAGCGTGAGCCCGCAGCCGCCTATCAGGGCCTCCAGATATGCCGGCGCTGTTGCTGCCAGCCGGATGACGGTTGGCACTGCGCAGGTTGCCGTCCGCTCCGGCGGGTGAAGACCGCCACTCGTCCACGTCCCGATCTTTTGGCGTCGCGTCTGTTTGTGGCACTGGCCAGGACTTTTTGCGACGCGGCTGCTGGGTATCAACAGGAGAGCGCTTGTGCCCTCGACACAAGGGCACAAGCACTGTACACAACACTGGAACTGTACACACTCCACTCTCACGTCATCAGTTTGAACTTTGTGACAGACTAGGCGGCCACGTTAGCCATTACTGTACTGATGTTGTATCATAAGCTGGCAGCACTAACGCGTAATTTCAAGCAATTTAGTCCATACGCAATGGTAAGTGCTCTTGAAGGGAACTGAAACATCTTCGACTTTAAGCAACCAAAGACGACCGTACACATATCCGTACGTGGCACATCAAGTGGAAATGCCTCATGAGTTGTCAGTGGTTTCTAAGGACCGAACAGGGATGATGTTTTACAGCATGCCATTCCTCGTCGCACACCAAGCACCCAGCGGTGGGGGTGCACCAGGCAGACGCGGCCGCCGCGGGACTCCTGTTTATTATCGCAACGGATGGAAATCTGACCGCTATTTCGGACCCAGCATCACGCAGCGTCAGGCACGAAGCCAAAATTGCCCTCAGGGCGGGGCCAAATGTCAAGAGTTATCCCCAAACCCAGTGAATGTGGACCACATTTGCGAAATCCTTCCTTATCAAGCACAACCTCTTGGCTAACGGGTGAAGGCAGAGGGGGACGGGGGGGGCACGAGACATGGCCTGGTGGAGCTCCCTCTGGCAACGCCCGTACGCAGTGCACTGAACCCGCCCGCATTGCCGGATCTGAGCTGAATGAACTGAGCGGACTACAGATGCCATGCTATCCGTCGTCGGTGACGGATAGCTGCAGGTCACTCCAGTGATGACTGGTAGCAATGCACGCTCATCTATCTCACTTAGCATAATGGAATAGCATCACTTGACGGTCGACGGTTGATAGAACGTTTAGCTGTGGTGCCGAGAGCATGCGAACAACTGATAAGTTTTCAAGTAAAACAGATAAAGGTAGACGATCTATTGGCATGAGGTGCTCACCACCAAGCCTTCGTATCCAAGCTAGCGCATTAGACAAAGGTCGAGGGACTGGAGGCGGCATCCCAGCATGAAATCCATCTTTATTGACCTGTGGACCTTGGACTGAAAATCGCTGCGTCGCGCCAAGTCTGCAGAATACTTATGGCCACAAACCGCACACATACCAGCGTTAACCCCATGCAATTGAGTCACATCGAAAGCATTGAGCTCACGGCTATAAAGCACCGCATCCACGTGCGCATCCTTTATCCATCGACGTTTACGCCTCTCCGCATAGCCTACCTCGCCGCCTGTCCACCGCTGCCATCCCACAGAGCCCCCTGCCTCGCCGCCTGTCCACCGCTGCCATCCCACAGAGCCCCCTGCCTCGCCGCCTGTCCACCGCTGTCATCCCCACAGCCCCGTACCTTGCCGCCTGTCCACCGCTGCCATCCCCACAGGGCCCCCTGCCTCGCCGCCTGTCCACCGCTGCCATCCCCACAGAGCCCCCTACCTCGCCGCCTGTCCACCGCTGCCATTCCCACAGAGCCCCTGCCTCGCCGCCTGTCCACCGCTGCCATTCCCACAGAGCTCCCTACCTCGCCGCCTGTCCACCGCTGCCATCCCACAGAGCCCCCTACCTCGCCGCCTGTCCACCGCTGCCATTCCCACAGAGCCCCCTGCCTCGCCGCCTGTCCACCGCTGCCATCCCCACAGAGCTCCCTACCTCGCCGCCTGTCCACTGCGGCCAAACCCGCAGGGCCCCCTGCCTCGCCGCCTGCCCACCCGGCAGCGGCCTCGTCCCTCACCGCTTGCGTCGGCGGGGTCCGCAGCAGCACCGGCACAGCTTGCTCATGGCGGCCGCCCCGCCTTTCACCACACCGCCGCCTCACCGCCGGCCACGCTGGCCAGACCACTGGCCATGCTTGCCGCACCGCGCCGCGCCGCCAGCCGCGTCACGCTCGCCGCCGGCGCGCCGGAACTGGCGGCGATTCCGCGCCGACGGAAAGGCGGCGCCGGCCGTCGCCGTGCCTGGTATAAATAGGCGACCGACTGATCGCCCGGCAGGGAAAGGTCGCACTCAGGCCATGGATGGCGGCGTGCTCGCGTCGCCCGAAGGTGGTACGCAGCGGTGGCCGGGTGGGCACGGACGGCGCGAGAGGCGAGAGACCGTGTGGACTGGGGGCCGCGTCTGCCTCGCACGGCGAGCCGGCAGCCTGTCTGACGTATGAGAGAGTGCCAGCCATCCGAGCCGCCAGGGGCGCCTGTGCTGGGATTGATCCTGAAAGTGACGCTCAAAGAATTTGGCCTACAGTTGTCAGCTGGCGGCTCGCCAGGCCTTTGTGAACTGACGCCAGCCGACCGTGTTAAGCACACCCCGCGTCCGGCAGGCGCTGAGTGGCATGCCCATAAGCGGTCTGTTCTCACGAAAACAGTCGTATCGTGATCATGACTGGCTGGCTGTCTTCCTCCCACTGGCGGCGGATTTTTGTACGATTTGAGTGCATTAGAATTACCATATCCGTCAAGTTGAGGTTCAGCAACAGCCCACCCAACAGCAGTGTTGGGGTTCAGCAACAGCCCACCCAACAGCAATGTTGGGGTTCAGCAACAGCCCACCCAACAGCAATGTTGGGGTTCAGCAACAGCCCACCCAACAGCAATGTTGGGGTTCAGCAACAGCCCACCCAACAGCAGTGTTGGGGTTCAGCAATAGCCCACCCAACAGCAATGCAAATCGACGGAGGACGGATCTCTTTTAACACGCGCTCGGGTGGGGTTTAAATTGACCCCCCAAAGGTTTTTCGGGAATAGTTTCTAAACGGTGCGGCTCAGCCGCGCCAAATGCGGCAAGGCTGTAGATAATGAAATAGCACGTCATTTGGCATCAAACATTTAGATATACTTTGTACAGTCGCTGACTTATGGCAGGTCAAAGTTAGGCCATGGTTCCAGCGAGGGAAATTTCTAGGGAATCATTCAGTCTGATGCAGCAGCTGAGTGTTAGACGAAGCCATGCATGTTTGAGATACTTTATTAGGCAACACAACAACTGAATGAACAAATTACCTCGACCTAGGGTCAGATATGAAGGTCAGATCAGGGTCAGACCAACATGTTTTATTACTCTAGGGCTTGCTGTATGGGATAGTTTTTGGTGGTCATTTTGAACTGATTGATAACAAGACTTGCATTATTCACCTTTGATGGACTTTTTAAAGGTCCAAATAGATCATTTATCTATGACGACAGAGGTTAACATTTTGCTTTTAGGAACATACTGCCTAGCGTAATCTTCGTCGCTTATTCAAATGCAAAACTCAAAGCAGCTTTGATTGATTGATTGAACTATGGCGTTGGTCCCTTTCGCCTCCAAAAGGTCAAACAAGGTCACTGACCTTAAATGAGCATGTGGCCTCTTGCTTCGAGCAGTTGTCTAGGTTCTCTAGGTTATAGGGGTCCCTTGAAGACTAACCTGGAATTTGACCTTGTTTGATCTTATTTGACCCGAAGTTCATAACCTAGAAATTTTCAACTTCGATCTAAGTGAATTCATGTACAGTTGAACATACCCTGTGAATTTGGTGTTTCTGGCCCTCTTAGTTCCTAAAATCTGGGGATCTGGGGGCATCAAGTTGACCCCCACCCGAGCGAATGGTATCTAACCGACCACTTGGGCGCGTGTTAAAATATTTCCCACCGCCTTTTGCCATGCTTTTTATTAAGCTGGACTTTTTCATTCCAGTGAAAGTGGGTATTGCCATACCAGCACCCAGCAGTATTTGGACCGGTTACTTTTCAAAAGTGGTATTTTAAATGAGCAATAAAACGTACTTGAATGTGTTATCAATGGGTGTCGGCGCTTATGAAGTGAAAGTTATCAGAAGAACGGACCTATCTAAGAAAAGCGCGAAGCAGCAATAGTACAGTGGATAATCTTAGTTTGCTTCGGTTGCGTGGATGCTATGACATCGAGCACGTTATCAATAACCTCTACTCCTGGCTGAGCGGTTTGAGGAAATCTTCGGTCGCCGTCGTTGGGAGGCGTCAGGCGAGTCAGCACTGCATGCACCAGATGGGTGGAACTCACCAGGTCAGAGAGGTGATGGCGCCCTCGAGGCCCACGGTGATGATGGTCGTCTCCCCCGTGTAGCCGACAATCGGTTCCTGAGATACCGTCAGAAGCGGCGGCTCGGTCGCCTCTGAAAGATGCCGGGAGTTGTGGGCTACGGTGGTGACACAAAAATGTAGAATTTGTATTTGGGTCAAAGTCGAACAAGGGCAGACAAGAAGAAAGCATTGGATGCGCTGGGTCATTTTATCTCAAGGCTGTGCTTTGCAGCGTTTTGATACAACAAAAACTCACCATACAGGCATTTATTGTTCAGAAAATATGACATAACGGCAAACGGCTTAGCGCGGACAGTGGACTGATGCGAATGCAATTTAGATGAAATAAACATGCAGCCGGATCGTTTTGATCCTCTTATGGCAGTGTCTCAACCACGCCAACGTTCGGAGTTCGTTCTGATGCTCAGAGCTCAAGTCAGAGTCATGAATCCGTCCCGATAGCTCAGTTAGCTAGAGGTTCTGCTTTCCAGTCTTCCAACTCTCCTTTACACCTACCCACCAGTGGCAGATTGGGGGAAATCTCGCAGCCCGTAGGGAATGGTGTAAACGTGCAACTGGCTGAAATAGCCTTTGAACCCATTCAAGTAGGCTGACTAAATAGTCCAGACTCCTTATGGGCCAGGATAGCTGAGAATAACCGTCTGTTGTTTGGAAGCTGCTGTTTTGTTTCGTACTCACTTTACTGCTCGTCCTGGCCTCGTCCCTGCACTGATAAAAAACGTTGCAAATGATGCATTCCCACTTAGGAATAGCTGGAGCATTTTGTTGGTACTGATGTTGGCATCATAATTGCACAACGTCCTAGCAAGCTTTGTAAAGTCCTTTGTTGTGAAACTGCTGTAAAGTCAACTGTACTATGATGTCATCATTTACGTTGTAAAAGTAAGTTAGCATTTGTTAGAAGATGAAAAAGCAAGCTTCTCGTTATCCCGTCGAATTCCACCAATAAAGTGATTACATCCTGAGGCAATTGTCGGACTGAAAGCGTCTTTGGCGAAGTCGTGGACAAAGAAATGTCCCAAGCGAGGGTAAGATGTCTTGGAATGTTACAATGACAATGTTTGACTCATTCAGTCAATTTTGCATGCATGCCACGCTTCTACGTTGGTATTGCACACAAACTATCTTTCAAACAAAGAAATAGTATCTTATTAGCACGAAAAATCTGCGCATGATGTGTTCGGACTATGTTGATTAAAGATGTGACGCGTGGCCCACACTTGACTTTTTGGCATGACCCCACAATGGGCGGGCCAACAGCCAGCAAGACAGGCTATCGGTCGAACCATGCCCAGCTTGCCCGCCAGCAAATCATAACACATGATACATGATAGCAGTGGGGCCCAGAGATGTGATAGCGTAGTTTAGACGCTCTACAATAAAAAACATACAACTTAAAAAATAACGAAAACGGAGATGTGCTTCCTACTTACTTCAGGTTATTTTTCATAAGTTTAAAGGAGATATCACGGATTCGTGCCATGTGTTTTTTTAACATGCGCTCTGGTGGGGGTTAAAATTGACCCCCGAAGGTTTCCCAGGATTATTTCCGAGCGGTGCTTCTTTGTACAGCAATGTGTAATTAAATAGCGGATCTTTTGACGTAAAACAGTTACATATACCTGTTAAGGTCGCTGACTCATGGTAGACTGAAGTCAGGCCATGGCTATCAGCGAAGGACATTTCTAGGAAATCGTAGAATATGATGCAACAACGGAGTGTTAGACGAGGTCACACATATCTGAGATGGTTTGAAAGGCATAAAATAATTAAATTTATAATTACAACCAATTCCATTGAGTTAGGGAAAAGTACCAAAGCCAAAACGAAGTAAAAACTAACCTGCTTTTTTACTCGAGAGCTCCGTTTTATGGGGTAGTTTCTGGTCCTCATTTCGAATTCCTGATGATAGGGACCGCAACAGACATAATCCATTTACTTTTCAAAGGTAAAAGTAAGTCACTGACCTAAAATTACCGAGGTCAGCATATTTTTCCTGGGAACATGCTACCTAGCGTAATCCCGGACGCTTATTCGAAATGCAAAATGGAAGCAATCTCGTGGGTATATTGTAACATTGACCTTACAAAGAGCATAAGGTCACTAAACTCAGTAAGTTGTTCAGTGCATTAACGATGAACATTATTCACATAGGTGGGACAGTAGTATTAGCCTTATTCCTGGGAAAAACCAGGAGAATGGAGATATAGTTTGGTTGATATCTCAGCAACATGTCTTTACCGAAGCAAAAGCAGAAGGCCAAGATCTTCTGCTTTTGCTTCGATAAAGGCATATTTCTGAGGTTTTTCCGAGGAATAAGGCGAATACTACTGTCTTTCTAGGTCACTGAACTCACTGAACTTTTGCTCAGAGCAGGTTTTAGCTTCACGCCGGTTGCATGAGGACGTCTGGGCGCACTTGAGACACCAAACTGGAGTTTGACCCTATTTATCCTCATCCGACCTCATGGTCATGATCTAAGAGCTCAAATTTTGACACAAGTGCATTCACGTGCAAGCTAATTTACTCTGCGTCTTTGGTATCTCTAACTATTTTAGTTTTTGAAATATCAGTGGGTCACATTGACTCCCCACCCGAACTAAGGGTTTCAACCGGCCAGCGCTAAGCAGTTAAAACCAAGCACAAATATCATATTACTACGCGTCAGGATGGTCCCGTGCCTTTCTCTTTTCGTGTGGTCCAAAGCACAATCGAGTTCAGCTTGTATTTATGCGATGTGAAAGCGTCGCATCTGTCGCCGTAGGGAGCCGTCAGGGCCGTGGGGCGCCCATGATGCACGATGCGTGTCATTGCGACCTCGCGAGCCGCCAACACCAACATCGCCAGCGGGGAGGGGAAGTCGAGCTCCATTACCGCGGCGGCGGAGGCAGACTGGCAGTGACGTCTTTGGCCGGGGGTCGTCTGCGACCTGATGGCGCAGGTGAGAGGCCTGTGCAGGTGAGGCGCGGCGGAGCGCCCGCAGGTTCGGGGACGTCGCGGCAATCGGTAGCCACCGCTGACCCGGCGGGACGGCTGTATGGGCACATGGCGCGGCCAAGCATGCGGATGTCGTCAGTGTAAAGATGGAATCGTTGTAGCATGTTAGATGAACGGGGGGAGAGGGGGGGGGCGGAATTCCCATCAGTGATCGTAAAATGTCTCAGTCACTCAGCAAACAGCGAAATCTGCCCGCAGCTTTGCTTCTCCAGCCACTCAGCCTGATCACGTCTTTCGAACGCTTCAAGCGGAGGTTGTGAGGTGCATGTGCCTGTGCAGCAGGTATTCGTCAATAAAAAAGGAAAAGGTGACATAAAAGAATGTAAATATCTTTGTAAGTTTAAGCAATTTTCAATTTCGAAAGTTGGAACTTAAGATGCATAAATGAGGGCATATATTACGGCCAAACGGTTCGGCTGGATTATACTACGTTTGGTTCAATTTAATGCGCTACGGCGCCCACAAGCAAGAGAAAACAGACTGCACAAAATACAGAGCAAATAAGTGGCAAGGCCATGCAAAAGGGATAGGCCAAAATGTTGAGACACTCAAAACAAGTGCCCGTGACTAAAAAGGAAAAAGTACCCAATTCGACGCAACGTAGTAGATTTATCGAAGACCGATAAATATTAAGCAAGTGAATTATGAGTGTTTTGGCCTGCATGTTAATTAAGTTAAATACTGTCAGTTTGTTTCGCTGCTGATAAGCTACAACTATCGGTGTTACCTATTGAACAATAAAAAAATTTGGTGACCCGTGGGTTACAATGTTCATGAGTCACACGTCTCACGCTTTCTTGAGTCCCATTTCACGTCCCATTGCGATCTCAATGCGAAAGGGTCCATTTTCACTTGTCAAGCATTTTGAGCAATTTTGAAAAGCCATGGACAATTTTGAATTTTTTGTAACGTGGGCCATGACGTTAATGACGCATATGTCCCATACTTGTTTAGTTTTGGTAAATCGCCTATGTCCAGTCGAATGAAGCTCTCTATATTTTGATCGGGATTGGGAAAGGTGTTTGTGTCAAGACAGCCGAAAAACGAAACACCTTTGTTTAAACCGGGATCACGAAACACAAACTTTCAGCGCGCCGGCTCGTTTGCGTCTTGTATAGCGAATATAGTTCATAAAACTGTTTTATACTTTGATATGGGGAAGTAACGGTACTTGTGGAATACCAGCATCCAAATTGGAAATTTTCAATTTTGTCGGCCAGTGGGTCACAACACTTATGATCCACATGTTCCATGCTTGCGTACTTCCATCGAAATGACCAGGCTGCATGAAACGTGAGCGTTTTGTTGTATGACTGGAAGAAAGCATTTCTTAGTGCATAAGTAATCACAAAATAACAATTTTGAAATATTCTGTCCACCAAGTGATTACATATAATCTCCGCACACTCTTTGCTCGTCAGCCTTGGCAGATCGTCTACGCCCCGTGGACTAGTGCGTTCAGGCAAAGCGCCTTCATGCTGTTTGTTTTAGTCCCTGTGACGAGGACCGCACAACAGTCTGATGTTGGCTGATCTAACCTGTGAATCGGGGCAGGGGCACAGCAAGCCTTTCTCGGGGCAGGAGCACAGTCAGCCTTGCTCGGGGTAGGGACAACGGGCTGACGAAACTCGCACTGTTGTTGAGAGTCTCCTCTCTGAATAATAGAACGATTTTGGTCCATTTGACCGATGAGATCCAATTTTCTTTTGCACTTGAAGTTACTGAAATAAAGATAATTACCTCCGTCCAGATCAATGAAGGAATATATGAAATGGAGGCATTCGCAAACGAGGGCATCCATCTCCGCAGGTATTCACCTTTCCACGGATTCAACGTTTCATGATACGAAGGGATGAAGAGGAGTCAATGTAACGCCCTGTCGCTGCCAAATTTAGATTGGTTGTGCCTCACGTTAAAAAGAATAGCTGATTGCTCCCAGTGAGATCCCGCAATTATTTACAACTTCCGCGTTTCTAGGTTTATAATTAACCCCATTAGACGCAGCTAAACGCCAGCTTTCAGCGAAAGCCATTAAGTTTAGATTTACATGTCATATATTTGAAATCATGCAAACGAGTGGTACGAAACTTAAACCGACTTGTTCTTTGTTCAGTTTGAGTACATGGGTTTGTGATTATGTGTGTTTTAGATACACATTGATGATGTAGGGTTTCGCAAATGGAACAGTGTCGTCTCCAACGCCAGTGAAAGGCGATCGATTGTTACCAACTGACGCTCGCACCAGCAGTTGAGTTGCCTTGAAGTGTTCTACAAAACGGCTCTTCTTTGAGACCAAAACCGCCGTCTTTTGAATGATTCTCAATGCCGGATTTTTAAGGCGTCGATCAAGCCCTGTAGTATCGGTTGACGAGACGGTCTGGATTTATCAGCTGTGTGTCTTGGTATCACTCACATGATAGCAACCGGCATCTCACATCTGTTATCGCTTCGCTGGTTCCAAGTCACCGATCAAGTCTCAATGGTAATCAGGTGAAATAGACCGACTCACTAAAGTTGTGTTATCGTCTTTGTTTTGTTAGTTTTGTGTCAACAAAGTTTATGTCGCAAAAACGTCTTCACCTGGTTCAGCGGTCATTTCGTCCGCCCTCTGTGCTGTGCTGTGCTGTGCTGTGCTGTGCTGTGCTGAACTGGCGTCCGGCGAGACTCACTTTGGTCACTGGCTTCCTGGTAGAAGGGACTGATGCCGCGCGGCCGGCCGGCGGCCTCCCTGCCGGCGGACGGTGACCGGGGTCGAGCGCCACGACCCCCCTCTGACGTCACGGCAGGCCGCACCGGCCGGTCGGTGGTGTCGCGTGTGGAGGGCCGGTCCGAGGGCATGTCAGCAGCTGCAATAGAGATCAAGTCAGTGGAAAATTCCGAGGGGTGATGTCACATAATAGAACTGTTTGGCGCGGCAAAGCCCCTGGCAAAGGAGAGAAGAAAGACGAAGTGAGAAAAAGGAGAAAGGGGAGAACAAAATGGCGCGGTGGGTTTAAAATGCACCAGCCATTCTTACCAAAATCATCACGCCGCGATTTTTTCCGACTTGGAGTCAGATTTTCAAGGTCCAGTTCAGGTTCACTTATTGAAGACTTCATGCTATATTGTTCAAAAGTCAAATCATCCTCCCTGGGTGCGAAGAACAAGCTGATTAATCATGCAGGCATCATCCGTCAACAACTCACGAACAAGAGCAAATACGTTATGCAAGAAATGACACACAAATATAATGGTGTTATAATAAACATATCTACCACTGTGTAGATCTAATGTTTCTTGTGCAGGTGAGATAAAAAGTTTCGCATTTAAATAATGTTTGTATTCGCGTTTGAAGCCACTTGGCATCTACTGGCCTTCAAAGGTGTAAAAGTCGGCGAGTGGCACACCGCACGAACAGACAATGTGTAAAAACCGCATATGGGCATATTGCACATAAAAATGCCATTAACGTCGTCATCACAGCGCTTCATACAATCAGGAGAGTTTTCAGTACAAAAGCCACACGCTTTGCGCCGCGCGCCGCCGCGTTGATGACGCGGGGCGGCCGTCGCGGCGGCGCGCCGTCCTCACCCGTCGGTGGGCTCCGGCACGACGCACGGCTCGCTCTCGGGCCCCGGCTGACCGAGGCCGTGCGAGTTCTCCGACCGGACGCGGAACCTGACCTCTGAGCCGACCATCAGGTCAAACACCTGCGCCGTCCGACTGCGCGAGGTCACAGCCTTCAGCCACACGTCCCAGCCGGTCTGTTGGCACAGACAGCGGGAGGGTCCACGCGTGAGATCTGCAGGCTTGGTGCCGGCCCCGCGCCGGCGTCGGCCTGGCCTGAGGACACCAGCTCTGAGCGGGCGGCGTCTGACTGGTGTCGGTCTGGCCTGAGGACACCAGCTCTGAGCGGGCGGCGTTTGACTGGTGTCGGTCTGGCCTGAGGACACCAGCTCTGAGCGGGCAGCGTCTGACTGGTGTCGGTCTGGCCTGAGGACACCAGCTCTGAGCGGGCAGCGTCTGACTGGTGTTGGCCTGACCTGAGGACACCAGCTCTGAGCGGGCGGCGTCTGACTGGTGCCGACACCGGTAAATAGCCGGGCAAAAAGCTTTACTTTGACAGAAAAAACATATTTTGCTAAACGAAAAAATTAAGCGTGTTCAACAAGACGCTGTATGATCAGACTGCTTTCCTATGTTAGTTGAAATACCTACTAATTACTTCCACAGTGGCAAAAATCGAGCAGACTTGCAGTTATACTTGTTTTACCACCTGTACTTTATGCTTAGTAACCAGATCTGACCTGCAGTGACACTTTGGTAGCAGCCGGGAGCGACGCCAGGAACTGAGCCGTTGGTGGGCGCTGAGTAGACATTGTCATTTTTGCGGTCAGTATGCATACATTGAATTCGTGGGCGCCTTCGTCGAATAAGTGACATCCGCGTGGCCCAGGGCCTCCTTAGGGTTTATTTTACTTATGCAACATTACGAAAATTGTGTTTTATGACGCGTGACGTATTATGTCCTTTTCATGGACAGGTATGGGATCATGAACTTCTCTGAGTGGCAAGATCGGTATTCATGGAGGACATTTGCCCTGAAAGGGGCTCAATTGGTTAAAGGGCCTCTTTGGATATCAACGGGACATCCTGTTGGACGGAAGAGGGCATGTCCTTCTATACCAGAGTCTGAATCTATTCATCTTGTTCGCATGGCTAAGCCGCCAACAGTGAAAGGACGCGCATCCTTCCCGTCATGATATCAGTATTCTACCGCATTTCGGCTCTCCCTCAGGTAAGATCATCACATCATTCAGGTCTCTCCCACTGACGAGAGAGGCTCCGCTGTGCCGCGACCACTCCCCACTATACACACTCCTTCGAAACCGGCATCTCCTCCCGATCATGGCGTCATCACGGTGTTGGACACGCCCGGATGTCCTGACAACACCATGGCCGCTAGAGGTTATCATGGGTAAGATTTCCCTTACCCGATACACCCGTTTACCCATAGGGCTCTACCCATACAATCGGTTACTCATTCGTAGCCAGATACACTCAACCGCTACGCACCCGATTTCATTTAGTTAGGACTCATGTTGCGAATGGAGGGCGAGCTTTAAAAAGGTGCATACCTAAACTTAATCGCTTGCGTTGGGCATTATAAAAGTGTTGTGAGTGTAGTCAATTATCATTAAAATACGAGCAAGCAGTTAGGTTGTGCTGTATTTCTTGAAAAGGCTACCCACAATTGTGTAAGCGCTCTACCCATACTCATGTCTATACCAATCATTTTCCCAAAATATTTGCCCGTTGCTCCTGCCATATGAGAGCGTGTAATGGCCAAGTGGTTACCGCCTTGGAATTCAACGTATAAGATCCGGGTTCAAATCCCGGTTGCATCATGGGTCCTGAGCACTTACATGGCCAACTTGGTCGCTAGCGCTCCATAAAAGGGACATAACCATGATTCCATTTAAAACAAAAACATTTCATACCGTTACCACTTTGGGCTTACCCAACCCTCGAACTCCTCTTAATGTTGCTTGACCATGCACATTAGACTTTTCATGACAGTCGTGGGACCTCTTAAAATTTTAGGCTGGTCAGAAAGTTAAAAAAGTCCATCCACTCTATCTCACAATAGTGAGGGTGGCTGCCCACCCTGCCTAATTATAATGGGGGGGGGGAGCTGGTCAACCCGTCTGACGATGAAGAGGTGGCTGCCCATCCGGTCCACGCGGTGGTGCCACCCCGGTAGCCGCCCATTTTTAAAGCGGCCAGGGCACCCAATGGCATCCAGGCAAGCCCGTTTATAACGTTGGAAACCCGTTGCTGAATTATGGGACCGACTTAGATTGCTCGTCAACTTGCGTGCTTCGAGCGCCGGGTGAAGATAAGAGCTCCCTCTGACCCTAAGCTGAGAGCGCTGCTGTGAACAGCTCATAACTTCAGCACTTCGGCAATTTACAGACATGTTACGGAACGAGCACATCTGCTCATGACGGGCTGTTCAAAAGTTTCACACTCGATCAAGAAAGTCGCTACTCACTCTGAAGTACTCAACCAGGTACTTTGTGACCTTGGCGCCACCGTCGTAATCCGACGGAGCCCACTCCAAAGTTAGACATTTCGACGATAGATGGCGTACTTCAGGCTTGCCAGGCGGTCCAGGAACACCTGGAACAGGCGGCAGCTGTGCGGTCGTGATCAAAGCGTAAGCCTAATTGGTACATAATCGCAAAAGACCTACAGTTAGGCATTTGCGAGCTGAGAGTTGGTGGACGTTCACCTCAAAGGATCTTAAATTAGCATCGACGATTCGTATCGTATGCTCCCAAGCATCAAAGTAGTTAAAGGGGCTTAGCCAACAACTGCCATCGTCATGCATTTAATCCAAGCAGGCTTAATCATAATCATAATTATACAAGAACAAGCACGTGCAGTTTCTAAGCAACCATTTCAGTCTCGGGTGGTTGTGGTGAGTCAAGTATATTTTGGTCCAAGCATCTATACGGATCAACGGCCCTCACAAGCAGCCGGGAGCTTCACGAAAAGTACAAAGGAAAGACACATTATTCAATTGGCAAAGTATCCAAAGCCTTGCTTTTCTGCTTCAGTAATACCCCCTAGCACTTACTTCTCGGAATTGGCTTGCTTTTTTATTCCATTTATGTGGTTAAGACAGTGTGCATAGCTTTATTCCTTGTGGAATAGCCAGAAGTGTGGTAAGATAGATGTATTAACATTTGTGATAGTTAATAGAAAACATATGGAAAATCGTGTGAGAGCTACAGTTGCGTCATCTAGGTAACCAAAATCGGTAACTTCGACACGCCAAGTATGAGCTCTGGGCTGGTTGCGCAGTTAGGCCCAACATTGGTAGCATAATTAACTCGCGCAACATAGAAACGGTTTTAACACGTCGTTCGCTGTAAACTCGGCTGGTTGATTCAGGCGGGGAGAAAGAAACTGCTAGAGAGTTTAACCAAGAAGGCTTTAAATACTGCCTCACCTACATGCATGATGTTCTTAGTAAATGCACTAAAAACTTATATTTATATGGTTGTTTCATTTCGGCCGCGGTGCCAATGTGGTACAGCTGAGGTTCTGTGACTGAAGTTGGGTGTGCCGCTAAAAGTGCGCGGCGAGGACAGTATGGTCTGGAAAGCGCAGCAGGATGTCTTACTTGCTTGTATCTTGTTATGCATTCATGGACGATTTCCAGCCCTTCAAATGAGGTTGATGTAAGTGTGCCCAGCCATGAAAACACATGTAAGCGATAGTGGGTGCTTGATCACTCCTTTGGTATGCCGTGTGTTCTAGTGTGAAAAACATCGTGTGTCCGTAGTTGAACACCTCCGGTTAAAGCATGGTTCGGCTTTGCTAGTGCTGTAAGCCGAGTAAACAACCTGTTTTAGTGCATTTGATCTTTGTTGGACAGAAGTCGGCAGCTGGTGAAAGACAACTTCCCAGCAATTTTTCACTCCCCGCCCAAATCAACCAGCCGAATGTCGAGTTCCTGTGTTGTGCGAGCTAATTCTGCCACCAATCCCGGGGCCTAGTCGCGCAACCAGCCTACAGCTTCTTCCTTCTTCGTTTTCATACCTGGCGCGTCGAAGTTGCCGGTCTTGGTCACCTGGATAGCCTAACTGTAGCTCTCATACGTCTCTTCATGTTTTCTGCCAACTAGCGCAAATTAGCCAGAGACACAATGCTGCACAGGGAATGTACTGCGCGGGGTAGGGATGTACCCTTGTCACCATCCGTGGCTCCGCCCTTGTTCCCAGTCCTGACCTCGGATGGCGATGTGGAAGACGACCACGTCGCCGCCGGTCTCGCTGACGGCACTCAGCGTGTATTGGCCGCCGTCCGCCGGCCGCGCGTCGGAGATTCGCAGTGTTGCCTCCGACTCCGACCAGGAGGTGGCCACGCGGTCGTCCCCTGAGGTGGGCGCGCACCGCGACCCGGTGAGAAGGCTGGGCGGGGCAGCGGGCAGCGATGGGGGGGGGGGGGAGCGGTACTGAAGGGGCTGACGGTCCACGGCAGGCGGGGCCATGTCGGCTCAGCCGCTGACAGATGTCGGACGTCGCTAAGCTACGTTAGATGGTGGTCGCTTTGGCCAGATGTTGGTAGGTAAGCCTAGATGCTGTCAGCTTTAACCACACCAGCGGGCTTGGTCAGGCGCTGACGGCTTTGGCCCCATGTGAGCAACGTTGGCCAGAGAATGGTAAATCAGGTAAAAAACGATAAATTATTTCAGGGAGCCACGTAATAGGACAAAGGGTGGGACAATCGCAGGAAGCTAGCCAATATCCGGGTCGATATACAAGGCCGGCAAATTTGCCCAGTGGTTTCTGAAGCGGCTTAAAAGGTCAAATGACAAATGAATAGATGATGAAAAATTACGCTGCATCCATTGTTGCCCTTCCGTGGGGTTGCAGGTATTTGCTGCCATCGTACAATGGTGCATCAGAACGCAGGCAAAATCGTGACAAATAGTCGCTTAAGCTGCGGGTGCCAACGTAGGCCGAACGATGGCTGGTTAGGCGTGGCGAAACATTCAGCTGCGACGCTGGTAACCGGTGTGAGCAGGTCGTCACGGGCTGACCCACCAGTGAGACCCGTGTGTTTTCGACGAGACCGGGTGCACCCGAGAGGCGCGCGGCGAGCCTGTGTCGCGAGAGACGTGACGCAAAACAGGTCGGCCAGGCGCCGTCAGTCGATACAATTCGTTACAGTTCTCCACCCACGGCCCCAACCGGCCCCAGCACACGATAACGACGAGGCTGTTTAAGCCGGCGGCGCACCAAAGCACGCAGGAACCCCACCGAAACTCGCATTCCAGAGGTACTCGTTGGAGTAGGAGTCGACATAAAAAACCTAGGCTATGGCTGCTGCAAAGTAATGGAGAGGCGAAACGAGAACAATATTCACGTGACGCCGCAGGCTTTGTTTACCCCAGCTGCGGAGGTGGGGGTTCTGCTGAAAACAAGTACGGAAGTCCGGGGGACCTCGTCTCCAGGGATGCTACGGAAGTGTGTGGAGGAAATCGCCTTATGTAATGGGCAACCCGCGGGATTAAAAGCCAGACAAAGGCTGCGAGGCACTAAATGAAAACATAGCTAATTGCGCTTTGAAATTTTGGTGGTGTCTGCGCCACAACATATACAGTTACAAATTCAAATACAATGTTCACATAATATTCACATATTAAATTCAATGCATTATGCAACCAAAAAATGCAATGCAATATTAAATCCATAATTTAAATGCAACATTTAATTGATAGAACAATTTCAAACATATTCATATCAAATAATACAACAATGGCAAACATATCTGACTAAAATAACAACAAAAAATCAGGACCGAGCCCACGTCCCGCAGCCACCTGTCGCGCACGCTCACTTGCGCACTCGTCGGCACGTCGGACCCATCTTCTGGCGTGAGCTCCTCGTCGGCGCGTCGGACCCACCTTCTGGCGTGAGCTCCTCGTCGGAGCGTCGGACCCACCTTCTGGCGTGAGCTCCTCGTCGGCGCGTCGGACCCACCTTCTGGCGTGAGCTCCTCGTCGGAGCGTCGGACCCACCTTCTGGCGTGAGCTCCTCGTCGGCGCGTCGAACCCACCTTCTGGCGTGAGCTCCTCGTCGGCGCGTCGGACCCACCTTCTGGCGTGAGCTCCTCGTCGGCGCGTCGGACCCACCTTCTGGCGTGAGTTCCTCGTCGGCGCGTCGGACCCACCTTCTGGCGTGAGCTCCTCGTCGGAGCGTCGCACCCACCTTCTGGCGTGAGCTCCTTGTCGGCGCGTCGGACCCACCTTCTGGCGTGAGCTCCTTGTCGGCGCGTCGGACCCACCTTCTGGCGTGAGCTCCTTGTCGGAGCGTCGGACCCACCTTCTGGCGTGAGCTCCTCGTCGGAGCGTCGGACCCACCTTCTGGCGTGAGCTCCTCGTCGCCGTGCAGCCACGTGAAGGTGGGCGTGGGGTGCGCCGAGTACGGGATCGACACCCGGATCACCTCATCCTGGGCGAAGGTCAGGCCCCTCTCGACCGCCTCTGACGGCCGCAGGTAGGGCGGGGCTGCGGGGACACGGTAGCGCTGCTGCCAGCCGGCCGTTACGTCGAACATACCCGTCACGGTGTATGTGCTCGTGCATCATGGCGATGTGGCGCTAATGCAGAATTTATACCTGGTGAAATGTAGTGGCAATGCAGGATATGGGGATGGGTCCCAAAGAAAAGCAAGAGATCACCTCAAATTTGTGCTTTTTGTTTGATGTCAATTAAATCGATATCAGATCCCAATTTAGGTCATGGTCACAACAAGGTCATTTAGACAATGCTTAAACCGGTCACCTTGAAAGCATCGTTGACAGAGCGTTTCTCCAAAAGGTACAGAAAATCTGCCCTAAAAAAAACAAGAAGCAAGGCACCTTACATATCCATCCTACGATAGCTTACCACACTGCTATGACCATCAGAACCGTCAAATCAAAACTAAATGTGAGATGAACAAGACCTCCTAGAAAACACTTGGGAGGCCCTGACTTGTCTCGTCTTTCCTCACAACCTACGTCCCGCTCACATTGGCAAACCTTGTTAAGCATCCACTTAACAGTAATATGGAAGAAAACTTGTTGAAAACTGCGGCACATGCCGCGGATTTAACGAAAACTTGAGCTCACTGTGTCCGCATTTTATTTAACGCGTCACTAGCAGGAGCGGCCTTGAAGAGAACGTCAGGCATAAACGTTTCTACCAAGCAAATATGTCAACACTAACTGCGCCACTTTTGCGAACTAATCTGCGCATAGCATGCTCTGCAAGGCTCCGGCTCCAAGCAGTGTAAATAATGTACTGCTGGTAGGATCGTTGGACCGCGTTCAGTGACCAGTGCGCTGGTGACAGGCCCGCAGTCGGCTTACACCGGTATGGCAGCTTTGTCCTGGGCTTTCTCACGGGTTTGACACGCGTTAATGGACGCATATTTCACCGCACACCCATGGCATCGCATGGCATCACTCATCATATCACTGACCCATGGCATCAGCATGATGTTGCTTATCAATGTAAATGTGTGATAATAATAAGAGGTGATTTCTTTGTGATCTGATGTCTTTAGTCCGTTTGCGACATGCGTTGCTAGTATGACGGAGCCACATATTTGCCCGCACAGTTTCCCGCGTCCGCAGGGCTCTCAGCCAGTTACACCTCATTCCTTTTCACCACGCAAAATGGAAACTATGTAAAGGCTTTGTTGTTGTATGTCCCACAGCAGTGATGTGTAGAACAGTACTAGGAACGATGCTGTTCTCCTCGCTAAGACTCGGGTTGTATGTCCCACAACAGTGATGTGCAGAGCAGCACGGATGACAAAGCCGTCCTCCGCGCTGGGGGGGGAACCCGTTATATATCATGCTGAGCAGCTTGCAGGCCAAGTCTGTCTACAGCAACCCGTGCGTTTTGTCCTCGGTCGCAGTTCTACCCACTCCATGAAAGTAGCCTGCTTCGCCGGGGAGCGATGACTTGTCCAGCCTGCAAGCAGACGCCTACATCTCTTCGCAAGGCAGAACGAATGGCCAACTCTCGGATGCATCGCTGTGCTGGAACGGCCCGTTAGACGTCTGCCATCCTGCTTAACTCTGCCACGCGCTGTAAGTGCCCACATCAGCCTGGTTCAAGATGTGGGAAGCCGACTGGGCTCACCTTCCACCTGAAGCCGAGCGGAGGAGGTGACGGCACCCAGCGGATTGATGAGCTCACAGGAGACGGCGCCGTTGTCCTCCAGCAGGGCGGGGTGCAGCAGCAGGGAGGATCTCTCACCCAACGTCACGATCTGCGGCAGGTTCCGTCCTCACTGGTTCACATCTGAGTTCATAGATCCGAAAGAGCGGAGAATGGGATAAATCCCTTAAGTAGCTGCATGTGGAGTCCTATCTGCCGGGCAAGTATTTCTTAGTCCAATCGTCATTATAGTGAGTATGCCACCTATCGTCGCACATTTTGTCCATTTTTCTGTACTATTGTTTGATTACACGCATCTGATTTGATCGGGAAACACCAGTTTTCTCGCAATCCGTCTGAAAAGCTCAGAACTTTTATTTGAAGTAGTCGCTCCTGCAGGGGATATCTCATTAGACTCCCTGCCTTCACCATGAAGGTAAAACATTTAATTTGTCCTGTTTTTCCAAAATGTGTGTTTCGTTGTATTTGCAACACATAAAGCTGTCAAAAAGCTTGTGTAACAAACTCAAAGATAGCTTGAAACACTTTTCAGAGAATAAGATAGGTCCAGATGAAGTAATTATGCCGCGAGTTCAACGCAACGTGATCCTATGGCTTTGATTTCTTCCCTTTAACGTTAAGTACAGTGGCTCTTTTCGAAGCACGCTTTGGCTCTGGGAAGTGGAATATCGCATGGTTATAACTGATGGATTGTTTCAAACTTCAACCATTGCGCTCCTCGGCAACTGGCTCTTGCCGCTGCTGTGCCAATCACAAACATTCACGTGTTCTAATGTCATTCATACCAGTAGAAGTGCCACCTTTAAGTCCGTGGGTTCGCGATATGCGGGTTAAAATAGCTCAAAAGTGGGAGCTCTGATCCGTAACAACCGGCGACGGCCTTCACCAGATTCTGCCGTCATCATGACGACGATGGTCGGGACAATTGCACTTTTTGTGAACTCAGGATACACCCTGGGGTTACCGAGAAAGGAAGAAATGTAGTGCTGTTACGGAGCGTTGACAGCGTAATTTGGACCTCAGTATGCCTTTTGAAATATGTCCAGAAATTGGGAGGCTACCGTTAGTGTTGTGAGCTGGGTACATAAAATGAAAATAAAGTCTGGATATGCGAGTGCATGTGATACCAACGTTTGCGAATGCAGCATTCCCTCTCTTATGCTCTGCTAACCTGTGACTCTTTTAAGCCCTTGGTCTTCTCGCCTTCTCGCATTCTTACGATTTTGCTCTGTGGCTGTGGCTGCCTGTTTCATCTTTTTGTCCCTCGTGCAGCCGTCTTTCCGCTCCTTCGCTCGCTATCTTACCACCTATCTGAACATATGTCGCGAGATAGCCACCCCATGATGTCATTTAGACAGCTGATGACCGCTGTAGGCCGATCTGATCGGGTCGGAGTTGAGATGCTTCTGACCTGGCACCTGTCGTCCAGCTGCAACCTTCTCCTTATTCTTGTACCAGTGAACCGTTGGGAGTGGTGAGCCACTGAACTGGATGTTGAATCGGCCTGAAACAAGTCAGTCGTAAACTTTCACAGCCGCCGAGCACTGACAACGGATGGAAAAAGTCGGTTAACCCATGCTGGACACAGCAGACATCGAAGAAGAAGACAGGTCCTTAGTAAATGGGCTTAGAAAAATGTCCGTCCAAATTGTAACTAATTTAACACACACTCGTTCTCTGTGATTGTGCCATTGCGGTGGTAGTTATATTGTAGTTATTACAACGTAGGCAATGCAAAGTTAAATCAAGTGTTATAGACTTTTTTAGATAAGGCGATTGAGACAGAAATAGCAGAATTTTCTAGTCATCTTAAGATACTAGAGTCTTCCAGGAGAGAGGTGGCAGCCTTTAATTCGCATACGTAAATGCAAGCTTGCCATATAAGGACATGCGTGGTATGTTGCATACGGTACTGACGAGTTATGTGAAGTATAAGTATTCCCAGGTCTCACCTTGTCGTGCTGGAGGCAGGACACATCTCGTAGCGTTCGTAAAACACTCGGAGGCTCCGGATCAGACTTCTGTTTAAACGATATCTGCCCACAACAGTTGGGAATCAAACGGAGCGAGATGACGTCTTTCGTCTAGTGAAAGGTCACCTTGCACGTATTAGCTCCAGCGCAAGGGGTGAAAGGTTATGAAGATTATTTACCCACATTAGAGAAATATCCTGTCTTCTCTGGGCGTCAACCCGACATACAAAGTTGATGAGAAACATAAAAATGAATTGACAGTAGAGCATGCTAAGGTCCAGAACTCCTTGGCATTTAATGGCACACGCTTAAAAGAAGATAACTCGCCCAAATATACGAATACCACACACACACACATACACACACCACACACACACACACACACACCACACACACACCACACCACACACACACACCACACACCACACACACACACCACACACACACACCAAACACACACAACACACACACACACACACCACACACACACACACACACCACACACACACACCACACACACACACACACACACACACACACACACACACACACACATATGAGAGAGAGAGAGAGAGAGAGAGAGAGAGAGAGAGAGAGAGAGAGAGAGAGAAGAGAGAGAGAGAGAGAGAGAGAGAGAGAGAGAGAGAGAGAGAGAGAGAGAGGGAGAGAGAGAGAGGGGGGAAGAGCGTGTGTGCTACATTTGAAAGGTAATTTCTAAAAGGGTGCGGCATGTTTTAATGCAATTGTAACGTATAACACATAACGTATTGCTTGCATATAAACCATGATATTTACTTTGGTTTTACAGTCGGCGTTTATCTGCAGGGTAAACGTCTTCATGTCAGCCCCCCGAACACAACCGCACTTCTCTAAGGTCCTGAGTGGCCCACTCCTGCTAGTGTATTACAAACAGCGTGCGCAGTCGCTGTGCGCGAGAATGGGGGTCTGTATCTCTAGCTCCCAGACCAAAATGATTGCGTACAGGACACCAATATAAAGTCCAACAACTTTCAACAGCATTTACCAGACATGGCGTGCTTGGTCTATTTCTAGTTTCCTGTCATCTCCTGTTTGCGCGCACAGAGATCGTGTTCAACTTTGCGAACTGTGACCGTCCGGTGTATGGCAATGTCGGTTAAAGGTACTTATATATCATTGTACCTTCGTACCCTTGCCTTAATGATGATACACAACTTATCGAAGCGTTGACAATTATGCAATTGATAGGGGCTGCTGTTCTTGTGGTCAAGGTTTTGCTGCTTCATATATATGTAAGCAGGTGCATTTGTGCATATTGCTTGCATGTAATGATGTCGAATTTGTAACGAATTTTGCATGACAAAAACGCCTCAAAACTGCGTGTTTTCAATGTTGTATGTGATGGAGCCGATGGATGTGTGCCTCAGCTACACATCCATGGGTTCCACTACTTATATCGATAAGTTATTTCTGTTACATATATATATATATATATATATATATATATATATATATTCCTGTTCTGAGCGTTGGCTGATGCCTGACATGGCTTGTTCTGAATGTTCTAAGTAGGTAGCTTTTGAAGCATGACTCGCATGAAGGAGCGGTTGTGCAACCGTGACACTCTGACACCACTGACCAGATGCTTGCAATTTTGCATGACGCACACCAGCTTTTCGGGGGCAGGTATGTAATTATATAATAATTAATAAAATCGAAAATAGAATGAAATAAAAAATAATAAAATGAAGGAGGAAGGCCTACTACTCATCCTCCACCCTACTCCACCCTTGCCTCTCTCTGCGCCGCCCTACCTCGGTGTTCCGAGAGGCTTTCCCTAATAACGCCCAAGCTCGCTGGCATATACGCCGCAGACGTCGCACCCACCGGGATAAACAGCTGGGCATGTTATCGCCGGCCACAGAGGAAAAAATCGATCCTCTTCTTGGATTGCTCTGTTAGGTTGTTGCATTGTTCTTTTCATTTGATTCAATGCACGTAACGCCCCCACGGACCACACAGCCACAGCAAAAACGGTACATATGCTAACGCTGGCCTTCTAGTAAGCGCCAACCATGTTTGGACAAAAGGAAAGATCGTCCAAAGTACGATGCTTCTGGGTAATGAGATGCTCATCTCAGCACGACGCACGCGTAGAAGAAGAGCATTATCATATTAATTTGATCAGGCGAGGTAAAAATGCTGCCTTAAATATTATGTTGGTGGTCGATAATCTTTTGCTTATAAGATTCCACGTTCTAGCAAGGAGACCAGAATTTATGACTGATTTACGAGCAGTTTCATGTGCGGTGCATTACGATAAATCACGACGCCAAAGGCTGTGGGCTTTTGAGTCCTTTATAAACGAAGAGTGACCATTACTGCTGTAAGCACTCAAGACTTAAATGTTTCAGCACTGCGAAAGTCGTTAATGGCGTATGGTAGCACACGAAGTACGCGTGCACTCTTGCAGAAGTAGGACACCAATGATGTATGGCGGTATTTGCCATGTCAAGGCGCAATGAGCTCGTTGCGCAAAGTTGACTCTCATAAGGCGAATGGTTAGAATAAAGAGACTGTTGATTTTGTCTTGGGTTGGAGCGGGCAGCACAAAGCGACCGCGTTTTAACCTTATCTTTATCCGACACAGAGGTGGCCGACGACAGCGTAAATAGCTAGCCAAGATCATCTTGTGACGACGAACAAAATAAACATCATGGAAGTATATATATATATATATATATATATATAATATATATATATATATATATATGTATATATATATATATATATATGTGTGTGTGTGTGTTCCTATGAGCTATAGCTCACAAACACCCACAAACACACATACACAAACGCATGATAAACACAACGTTGACAGGCGGAGATGAGCATGCACCAACCT